TTTCAACTCCCATCAAGGCATTCACCTAATGAACGCCTGCGCCAAGTTTAAACATTCTACCTCAATTAGAAGGAGGGTTATTGTGTTCTAAAGTCTCGACCAATCAAATTGCTTATCGCGCTGCTTACCCTAAGCAGATAAATGCTCATTATTGAACTTAGTCAAGGTATTGATGTAATGAAACTATACACCAAGTTTCGTCACTCTTACTTAATTAAAACTAAAGTTATCGTGTACCAAAGCATCCACCAATCAAATTGCTTATCTCTGCTTACCCTAAGCAGAAAATGCTCATCTTTAAACTCTATCAAGGCATTGACCTAATAAACACTTACACCAAGTTTGAACATTCTGGCTCAATTAGAAAGAGAGTTATTGTGTCCCAAAAAGTGTGACAGACAGACGAACGAACCCATTTTAATAATCACCTGATTTCTTCGAAAGGCGGGGTACAACAATGTGAAACGTGGGTCAAAAGTCTGGAAGTAATAAACGGAAATTGCTGAAATTCAATAGGCTTCTTAGTTTTGACTTATATAAAGGATGCATATAAATTTCATACAAATCAGATAACTCTTGTCATTGGAGCGTTCACAATGTTCAACAAAGGCCATAACTCCAGAAGAAATCAACGGAAACTATTGAAATTAAATAGACCTTTTCATCGCACTGATTTAAACAACATATATCAATTTCAAAACAATCAGGTGATAAATGTAGGCTGTAGAGTGTTCACATGACACAAGAAATTGTGACGGACGGCAATATACGACCACATTTCTAAGTTCCCGTATAATAAAAAAGAACAAGCCAACAGTGAGGCTGATGACCCCCGCCAAAATCTGAAAATAAATAGATGACACATATTAATTAATAGCACATTTATGTTTTTCAAAAGTATCAAACAATCAAACTGATTATCAACCATACACTAAGTTTCATCACTCTCTATCTGATCGAATCAAAGTTATCTTGTTCCAAAGCATCATCGACCGATGAAATCCTTCAAAGCAATCACCTAATAAACACATATGCCAAGTGTGAACATTCTAGTTCGATTAGAAGGAGAGTTATTGTGTTCCAAAGTCTTGACCAATCAAATTGCTTATCGCTCTGCTTACCCTGAGCAGAAAATACCCGTTATGGTCCTATGGAACTTAGTCATGGTATTGGTGTAATAAAACTATAAACCAAATTTCAACAATCTCACTTAATTAGAACTAAAGTTATGGTGTCCCAAAGAATGCACACATCTTTTCAAAACAACAGTCATAACTTGACTCAGAATGAAGTAATATGAATGAAAGTAATATGAATCTGAGCTATTATAGCAAGAATGGTCAGCTACTTATCTAAATCTTACATAATGTATCTTTAATTAATGTCTAATAATTTAGATAACATTTCAGGCTTTAAAAAAGACATGCAATAGGCAGATTTAACTCTTGCATATATAATGTATGTTTAAGTATTTCTATCCACTACTTGCTACTTGCCTTGGTATAGCCTACCCTAAAAAAATGAACACCACCTTTTCGGTGTAGATACCCTTCCAAGTGCATTTCCTTTCGGGATCAAAGATCATTATTTTCAACTAATTTGCTAACTATGTAAGTGAAAAGGCATCAGCAATCAACTGACTACATGATTATTATGTTCAGCATCTTACTGCCCCCCCCCCCCAGCTTAGTTTTGGACCCTCCCAGAAGACAAATTCCTCAATTTAACTGCCTTCAGAACAGGAAGTAGACCATTTAAATTGGAACTATTATCTTGTAGTTCGACTAATTCTTGATTCAATACAATTTGAAAATAGAGTTTAATTAGATTTTGCAAAATTTAAGACAGATGTTTTTTTTTCCGAGTCCAACAGCCCATGGTACAAAATAAGTTGCGGAAATTAAGTCTCGATATTTTTTACAAGGTTTTGTAAATACAAAATTGAACACATTTGTTTCCACTGTAAAAGTGATAATGGTTCTTTCATAAATTATTTCCATTTGAGATTCCATTGATAATGCTAACTTCCAGTCCCTCCACATGATACAGTTTGTAGCCAAATGGGGACAGATCTCAATGTTTTGCAACATATTGTATTTTAAATATACATTATGTAAGATATAAGATACAGAGATGTTCTTTCTTTAATAGTTCAAAAATAGATGCCAACAGTGAGGCTGATGTTCCCCGCCGAAATCCCTAAATAGATAGATGACACATTAATAGCACATTTATTTTTTTTCAAAAGAATCAAGCAATCAAACTGATTATCAATTATACACTAAGTTTCAGAACTCTCTATCAGACAGAATTAAAGTTATCTTGTCCCAAAGCATCGACCAATGACATTGCTTAGTTTGAACTGTTAATCATTAAACTCAGTCAGGGCATTCACCAAATGAACATCTACATCAAGATTAAACATTCTACCTCAATTAACAGCAGTGTTATGTTCCAAAGTCCTGACCAATCAAATTGTTTATCGCTCCGTAGCCTAAGCAGAATTAACAGCAGTGTTATGTTCCAAAGTCCTGACCAATCAAATTGTTTATCGCTCCGTAGCCTAAGCAGAAAAGTCTCATCGTCAAATTTAGTCAAGGTAATGCTGTACTGAGCGCCATGGAAAACGCATCACTTTTTTCCCCAAATATTTTATTACTAGGTCGTTTTGTATGTATAATATTATGCAATACTACGAACTATTGTTTCACACAATGCTCCCAAACGCAAAAAATATCGGCCCGTGTGCAAAAATGCACGAGATGCACATGAAAAACCCAATATTCACGTGCAGCATTGTGTGTGAGCCCTTTAAAAGCATGTTTTCAACTTAATGTGCAGTACATGAACTGTGAAACGTCAATCTCAATCTGTCGTAATCTGTTGTTGGGCGTGTGAAGGAATCGAGCTAGAGATGCCGAGACTTACTGAAAATCAACGGAATGAAGCCATGGGAATGTCCAGGCGCACGTGTACAGGTCTGGCATGTCTACACGTGCTATTGCCAGACACTTCAATTGTCATCAGTCCACTATTGTAAGGTTGGTGGAACGTGTTCGAGTTACTGGATCAACACGTGACCGCCAACGTCCTGGTCCACAACCCGTTACAACCGCTACATCCGGGTCACTCATCTGCGTGACAGATTCCGCCCAGCGACGCGAACGGGTGCAGCAGTCGTCGGAAGACAAGGACCAGTAAGTGCCAACACCGTAAGACGTCTAAAGCGATGGACACACTAGCCGAATGATTCGGCCGAATCAATCGGCGCCTAAATCAAACAGGTTTGATATATTCGGCCGAATTATATTCGCCTTATTAAGAGAAGTAGGACTCCATGCACGACGACCTTATGTTGGAGCTATCCTCAGGGATCATCACCGTCAGCGGCGTTTGATATGGGCTCAAGGACACCAGACATGGTGAAGAGTAGACTGGCAAAGTGTGCTCTTGGGTGATGAGAGTCGCTTTCATCTTTATCACGCTGATGGCCGTCAACGTGTGTGGAGACGTCTTGCAGACTGCTGCGTCTTCGAAACGAATCGATGGGGTGGGGGAAGTGTAATGGTGTGGGGAGGCTACTGACATCTGTGTCGTACTTTTGGTTTTGACCCCTCTGACTTTGTACCCTTGATTACAGATTAAACATCCATAAGTGTACAAATGTGTTGTTATTGGTGTGTTCCCATTTGAATATTGTTCACAATAAGAAGCAAAATAAATAAGATACGTTTACAGGATCATTTTGTTATACGTTTTGATGCGTTTTCAATGGCGCTCAGTATATAATAAATCTACAGTATAGGCCTATTCGGAGTTTCATCACTCTCACTTAATTAAAACCATAGTTATCGTGCCCCAAGGCATCAACCAACCAATCAGATTGCTTATCTCTGCTTACCGCAAGCAGACAATGTTTATCATTGAATTCCCATCAAGGCATTCACCCAATGAACGCCTACACCAAGTTTGAAAATTCTACCTCAATTAGGAGAGTTGTTCCAAAATGTTTATCTCTCTGCTTAGTCTGAACAGAATTGATGCAGGTCATTTTTCACGTGGAGAAAGTGGTGCTATTTTTAGCACATAATAAAAACTATACACCAAATTTCATCTCTCTCACTTAATTAGAATTAAATTATCTTTTCCAAAAGCATCAACCAATCAAATTGCTTATCTCACGCAGAAAAAGCTCATCTCCGAACACCATCAAGGCATTGACCTAATAAACACCTTCACCAAGTTTGAACATTCTAGCTCAATTAGAAGTAAAGTTTTTGTGTCCCAAAAGTGTGACAGACAGACGAACACATTTTAATAGTCCCCTGCTGTCTTCGAAAGGTGGGAGACAATTTATTTAACAAGTGAAATCAGAAAAAAGTGCTCTATCAACTAGATATTCTCATAACCTATTCATATGCTTGCAATAACTCAATGCTTTCTGTGCATGTAGTAAATGAAATGAAATGGGGTTTAATGTCCTACTGTTCTGCTCCTAACCTGGGCTAATGACGGGCATACGCCATACAGTGTGCTATGAGGGAAATTTTGCCCGGACAGTGGCACTACGGCCTACTCTTATATCGAATTCCAACTGCCAAGGGATCTTTTACGTGCACGCCAATGAGTACACGGGACCTCGGTTTTTCGTCCCATCCGAACGACTAGACAGCTTTCCTTGTCAGGCCCTCCGTCCTGCATCACTGACAAGGGAGAACCATGCCGGAAAATCTGGATGAACTTTCTCGGCCAATGCAGGGATCGAACACCCGACCTCCAGGCTAGCGAGCTAGCGTCTTACCCACATGATCCCCCTGTGCATGTAGTAATGTAGTAGTAAAAATACTTTTTAAATGCAAATGACCAGCAATGTTGATTGTGCCGTGTCCCACTCCACGACTTTCATATACAGCAATAATTAGAAAGCCATTATTATTGACTTGACAATTCAAATGCAAATTGCCACCATCTTTTAAACTGTATAGATGTAAAAACAAAGATATTTCAAATTGTTTATTTGATACAAAAACATGTTATGAATCAAACTTTTTTTTACACTTCATTATTCAGTTTTATGCTGAAAATATAAATCTTTCTGCACAAGTTTTCTTACATACAACACTAGTAATATTTACTCAATTACAATTCTTAGTACCACGGTTTCTTCTTAAACAACTCATCTTTATTAGACCAATATCTATCAGGTTTAATTGTTACTGGTGATGTAACCCATTTCTTATGTCAATAAAATCACTAGGCCATGATCTTTTCTTAAAATTTTTTAATCAGTAAATGCAATTTGGTCCTGCAGCAAAACAAGAGTTATGCCCCATTCTACTCAGATTTGATTTGATTCTTCAGCAAAGACATCCACATTTTCCATTTAAGCGGTGAATAAATAGTCGCCGAATTTTATTTGGCCGAATGGGTGCACACACTAGGCGAATGCTTCACCCGATTCACAGAGTCTTCAAGCTATTCGTCATCAAGAGTATTTATGTTAAAATTGGCAGATGCATGGAACGTATTTAACAGATATGGTCCATGACAGGAGTGATATTATAATTGAAATGTTATGTGTGCATAGGATTGTTTTCGGATATATTTTGTTATTTGTCCAGAATGCTACACCATTTCACTCCAAAAATATCCATAGACCTCCCCATTCCACCTGTAAATAAAAGAAAATAAGATATGAAATTTTAGGTATAAACATTTGTACATGTCTAAGCATAATATTAATAATCTTCCATTTCCTTGTTTAGTTCAATTCAATGTAATCTTGGTGTACTCATTTCTGTAATGACCACAACTGGGAAAGTGTCACTGATAGATCTAACATCTCTGTACTGCTGAGCAAGTGTTAACAAACCATCCTAACCTTTATGTGACTGGAAATATAAATTGGCATGATGCATTTGATATTTATGAACCCCAAAATGTTAAATGGCTATGGTTTGTCTATCTCTATCAAGAACTTGGTGCTACTGCTAGCACATGTCTAAATGTACACAAGGTGATAAATCTGCGATGACAAGAAATGAAATGGGGTTTAACATCCTAATGAAGACGGATGATGGACCTAGGCGGCTACATTCATTAAATGTGTTGGTGTATAACAAAAGGGGGCAGTTTCATTATCTTAACATGTCAAACAATTCTATTATTTCCATGCACATGTAAGACATTAGAAGTGGCCCGTCCATTCGAATTTCATCCGTTCAGCATATATTGAACAAAGACATATAATTATATATTTACTACATGAAGTTATATTCCTACCTTGCTTGCCCATTTAGAGAAATGAGAACGGGGTCTGCTTTATTTTGTATAGAACATCATCCGTTTAAAATATTCCTTCTATCTGAAAAAAAAAAGGTGTAATTTTTGAATCAGATATAAAGAAGGAATATTTTTACTGGTTATCTGTTCAATTATCTTTGATGCATTAAATCCTTACATTAATATGTCAAAATTATATAAATTTGAGAGTGAAAATTATTGATATTTGTGGACTTATCAAGAACTATTTGTTAGGAGTGAGAACAAAATGTCCCCGGCATTGAAATGAAATGGCGTTTAATGGCATTTCAGCACCAACCCACGCAAATGGGTACAAGAAGTTCTAGCACTACAGGGTCATTACCAATCAAGTTGTAGAAAAAATAAATTTACAAAAGTTTAAAACAAATATCAATTACTACATTTCTCCTTTACTTTTTTCTTGATCATGAAATGTGGAAGGGGCTGTACAAATTACTTTTCAAAATACATTTGCATATAAAATTTCAGTCTGATGGTTCAAATGACACGATTTGCACAATGGCAATTCACAAGTGAATGTTATACTCAAATGTGTGGTTAAAAGCTTTAAATTTCAATATCTATACAATAGGTTACCGACAAGTTGCGTTTAACAGATTGTTATCCTGATTCTCGATATTGTCGTTCACTAGGTCGATTCGTCGATCTCCCGGCATCTCGTGTCGATCATCCCGTCGTTTCGTCAATCATGGCGTCAGCTCGTCGATCAATCCGCCGATAATCGTAGCATCATCTTCATAGTCTTCGTTTGATACTTCTTAATTAAGTAATACCATAGCCATAGTGTAAAATATACAGTATGAACTTTGACAGCTCACAACGGCTTTCTTAATATCACAAGATAAAACAAGGTCGTGAATTTTTAAAGATCTTCTTGATCTAATTTTGATAATTTATTACCGATACATCATGATAAGAACACAACATGATTACATAGATTAATAAAATGAGTTCAAATATACACTTAAAATTATGATTAGCGTTTTTTTTTTTAGATTTAAATGAAATTAGTAAAAAGTTTCTTGGATGATTTCAACACTATGTTTATTTTACAATACATGTAGATGGAGGATATACGCCCGTGACTGGATAGATATCTTCACGATCATCAGTACGGCCCGGGTACTCGGCTTTCCGGCGCTGTCATACGATCCGATCCGATGCTAGACGCAAAAAAAATGAAAAGAAATAATTTTGCAGTAATTCAAGTATTATATAATTCAAAAAAGTACAACACAATAAATTTCATGTACTGGCATAGATAAAAATCATTTCTATACAAACAAAATATTTCATGGATACAAAAGTCTGGTAGATCTAATTAAAATGACCAAAATAACCATAAATGTAAGTAATGCCAACCCGTTATCCATAAAATTATTGTTACATGCATGTAACCTTGTATTACAATACTACCAGCTTTAATGTGCGGCTAACTGGTTTTTGTCAATGTAATAAAATATTTTAGCAATTCAAACAAGCTTTTCAATGTGTAATGATCCCTTTATCATGCAAAGGTCCAATCAATCAACTAATGATGAATTTATGAACACTAATACAGATACATGTATTACAGAAAAATACCTCTAAAGAATAAAAGAACATTTTACAAAGAAAGCTGTAAATTCTCAGCCTAAATTTTGGAAGCAAAGTATATCAATATGTTTGAATACAAAATATATGCAGCATATATTTAGCATATTTTAGATTTTCAGTTAGTAATGTTCTTTTAAATCAACAAGACAGATTAACATCACATTAAGAAATATAAAAAGTACTATAAACCCTTGACTGCTAAATGGAACTGTTTGTGTCAAAGCTATGTGTAACGACTGCCATTTGTTACAAGACGACCAGCTCCACATTGCAGCCAAGGGTGAGTACTTTATAGTGTTACTATACAAATGTAAAGATGAAGTGATAAAGGAACTGTCTTATTTTATCTATACTCCCTTTAAAGAGCCATCAGAATGTTTGAGATTTTGTCCAATTTGTATGCATAAGATTTTTTTTAATCGCTAAGATGCCGATGTTTCAAAATTCAGCCTGAATTGTAAACATAAGAGTTTTCAAGAAGTAGAGTAAAAGCTCAACAAAATCCTTTATAATAATAAGCTATTGTTTAGATTGTCAATAATTAGGTTAGTCTAGGGCAATTTTGTACTCATTATTTAAATTTAACTAAAATTTATTTTAATGTATACAGTTCTAATGTCTCTGTAAGTGCAAGCATGCAGATTTGGCATATAGGAGAGAACTATTCTAATTGAACCACACAAAAAGTTGTCACAATCTCTTTATAACATTACACACCCCTTATCCCAGCAAAATACTATCAAGGAAATGCTCGATTCATTTTTTTTTCTTTACATGTTTTGATGAAATGAAAGTGTAGGATCTCACTTGACGAGATTGGTACATTCAAGCCAGATGTTAGAAATGAGAAAATGAATATTTCTACCGCATTTGGCATTTACATATAATTATTGATGTTAGAAATAGACCAATTTATCCATGAACCTTCATTAGCTAAATAATCAGAATATTAGTTATGTACCAGCAAAAACACATGTTGACAATTTCTTAGATATTATGCATGATGCTATGATAAGGCCTGTCATGACATTTCAGGTATATCATCATGCTCCACATAAAATTTGTGTATTAGAAGCAAGTACATTTCTTTAAAGAGATTCCATGTTTAACTACTGGTATTTGTTTCATAGTTAGATAATTAAGGTTCATCCATTAACATGCACCAAAAGGGGTTTGCAATACATTATTATTAAGAACATCATTTCCAATTACAAACTGTGATTGTAGATATGTCAAGAAATTTACAAATAATTTACATTATATTTTGAATTTCTGATTTAAAGTACACTGATAAATTAAGATAAAAGTTGTGGCTCTTGGAATTTTGTTCCATAATGGTAATTTCAAACCCCTACTTGCATGTAAATTACAAGATTATGTACATCTTGGCAATATCATATAATAATTCCCGGTATGTCAAATAAAAATATAAAAGGAAATTATTTAGACTTTTTCCAAAACAGATGGCTTTGAAGCAGTAGTTACATGAGAATAGTTTGATGTAAAATAACTTGTGATTATAATATAATGTTGCCAAAACAGCCAAGTCATATACTGTACATAGTATTCCATACAAACAAATGAGTTGACAATTCAGCTAATACACACACACACTAACTTTATACATCTTACCTTCTATCAAAAGAGTCAGTTGTGAAATCCCTGAAAACGGACAAAATGAATAAAGACTTTACAAAAATTATAGTAGGTCGTTCTTGATTTACTACTCTTTACTGTTATTCAAAGGCCAGAAAATGACACTTTGCATATGTACATTTAAATAGGATGTGCTCCTTGATTTGGTTGAAAAAAGGGTTTAATTATGTATCTTGAAATTGAGTTTTATCAATAACTCTTGTCACAGATTACCAAAGTCTCTTCTGATTTTGTCTTATGAATTTCAAGTATATGTGCCTCCCAATCCCATTTTATTGGTATGATTTAGTGGCGTAACGCAAATTTAGCTCATGACAAAAATTTAGCGTATGAATTACTAACTCAGTTATAGAGAGGAGCAAGAGGTAAAACCACCAAAGTTTATGTAGGTAATTTACCTGAAGGGACTACTAAAGAGGATCTTAGTTCTATGTTTGAAAGTTATGGTATTATAGTAGAGTATGATGTTATTAGAAACTATGGCTTTGTGGTAAGTAAACATTGAATGGTAATTTATGGGTAGACCATAATTCTTGAATGTCATTGTGTGATTGAGCACATTAAAATTTTGTGAGAAATATAGTTTTCCTGAAGGTAGTAGACTTTATCAATGCAGCAAAACAGATTTAGTTTTTTTTTTGTTTTTTTTTTTTAACAAAATTACTGATTATAATTCTATAGAAGTTTATACAAAGTTAACTGTACAATTCTCCATTTCAAAATTTAACCATTGGTTTAATTTATAGAAATCATAATTCTGATTTGTTTTCAAACTCTTTCATATTATTCCCCAAAAAAATAATGTTAATTGATTTTTGTCTTACATTTTAATTCTAATAAAAGTTGAAACCACTTGGCAAAATGTTTAAAATAGGAGCACTGTTACAATTATTAATGTAATAAAAATAAAAGTACAGAATATCATACATACTTACTCATCATAACCTCCAGACTGGGAATAACCTGGTGCAGATCTATAATAAAATTTAACTCTTTCAATACATTGTCACACCGATCTCTTTACAAATTAGAACTGTTTTTTTTTTAAATGAACATATATCAATATAAAATCAATAAATCTAAGGACCCTTTTTTTAATCTTATAATCTGGACAATATTTTTAATTCTGTAGGCAAGAAATTTTACTTGAATGATCTCATTACATTTGCAATGAAAGATTAATTTAAGCTATGCAGTATACCAATTTATAGATAAAATACATAATATGTACATACCCTCCTGGTCTTCTGCTGTAATACTCTGGCGGAGGTCGGCCATAACCCTCTCTCTCTCTTCCTCTGTAATACATACTTTCTCTACCATAACTCTCTCTAGTTACTGGTGGTCTTCTATCATAAGGCGATTCGTAAGGCCTGTATCTATCACCAGGGTAAGGGGGTCGTGCATATGGTTCTCTGTAGTAATCATCATAGGGATCACCATAAGATCCACCCCGATAGGGTTCACGTCCATAGGGTGGTCTACCATAGGGATCACCTCGTCTGCCTCCCCCACCTCCTCCTCGCCTAATAAAAATAATATCAATTTTTATCTTTTAACCCGAGTAAAAGGTAGGTTGCCAGGCAATGAAACATACACCCACAGTAGCTAAGTTGCCCTGGCAGTCAACAAGGGTTGTCACATATTTTTTCTTTTTGTCAGTAAGAACATTTACAACACATGAAAATCTGATTAAGTAATTATCAAAAATCATTAGAATTTGTTTTGATTGTTTGTCTCATGACCGTAAACAATTTATATAAACTTTAGCCTCTAGAGCCTAAACAAGATTTTTCAAAGTGATCAAGGGTCATAACTCTGGCAATAATTATTGGAAATTGCTGAAAATAAATAGACTTCTTCGTCTCATGATCTTAAACACTGTATAAATTTCAAGTCAATTGGATATTAACTTTAGCCGCTAAAGCATCCACAATTGCTTGTGGATGCCGGACTGACGACAATATACGACCATATTCATGATTTCCAGCCAGGACTTGCTTTATACTCTAAATTATAATAATGTAATTTGTTCTATATAACTCAGTATCTAGAACAATGACCGTCATAAAAAATATATCCATTTAGTTACATCCAGAAAAAGTTTAATTTTATGTATTCAAAACTGGATTACTTACATGTCCGATGGACAATCTCTTCCCCTGAAAAAATGAACAGGATAAAAGTTATTGGTGATTTAGTTATGATACTTTGAACCAAATAAAAAAAACCCCAGACACAATGTACATTCTATTAATGAATAAACAAGGTTATAAATACTATTCTGAACTAAAAGTCAGACTGACTGAATTTGCTATTTACACATGTAAGGAAATCAGAATAGTAGAAATTAGAATAGTAATTATATCTTTAACATTATTGATGTATATATGATGAAGCTTAAATGGAAAATATAATCAGATTTTATATATGTTTCTTAATATGTCGAATACCATGAAAGATTAAAATACACACCAGTGACCAAATCTACCACATTTGAAACAGCCATCTTTGTTGCCCATTCCTGGCTTCTGTCTCATTTTGCTGTTGGATATTTCCACACGTAGAACATTACCCTGGTATTTAGTACCATTTAATTTTGTTGATAAACGAGCCTGGTCTTCTGTAGCAAAATGCTGAAAAAAGGAAATGTTTGTCAAGAACATAAAATGAATGGGGGGAGTGGGGGAGGCAGATCTAATTCGATACATATGTAAAATTACAGAAACCCTAAACAAATATATATTCAGGAATTAACCATATATTAACATATTTTTGTGACTGTTTAGCATGATATTTTATATAATTACATTTGTACTTGAAAATGATAAAAGAACACTTGTCAAAATTAGATGTACAATAAACCAGTGATTGTATTTCATATAGATTGTCATGTTTTTAATGTGCTCAATCACACAATGACATTCAAGAATTATGGTCTACCCATAAATTACCATTCAATGTTTACTTACCACAAAGCCATAGTTTCTAATAACATCATACTCTACTATAATACCATAACTTTCAAACATAGAACTAAGATCCTCTTTAGTAGTCCCTTCAGGTAAATTACCTACATAAACTTTGGTGGTTTTACCTCTTGCTCCTCTCTATAATATAAGTAATAACACAAATGATAAACAACAGTTACACTGCAGACAAATTGGGGACACAGGAGTGAATTTGTGAAAGACAGCCATGGAAAGCTTGGAATATACCAACATAACTTTGCTCAAAAATGACCTTCAAGATAACGAAGCGTACGCCCACAGCCACTAAATCGTCTGGGCAAGAGTTGTCGGTTTGAATTTAAACAGTCGTTCATTTAAAATTAAATCAATAAATGGCAGACCAAGCTAACGTTTACCGTTAGTCGCTGATGTCACTACCGGAAACTGGTGATGGAAGGCCTGCCAAGCGAGTCTACCATAGCCATTGAGCATGTTACTTGACAATCGAGAATACACGTATGTGAGTGGAGTTATCGTCTGCCAATCAAATAATTGACAATTCTCATAGACGGTGCAGACACAATTGATGCCTATTTCTAGTCCAAACTTCCAACAGTGACAATTCCATTCAGAACAAAGTAATTTGACTGAAATTTTCAACATTTTCATTTTTTATCATCGATTTTTGATTTATTATAGCAAGAATGGCCAACTCTTTATAAACTCTTAACTAATGTATCTTTAATATTATGGATTTAGCTATTCAGGTTATCAAAGTCAGACTGCCAGACAACGAAACATAAGCCTTCAGTTGTCGTCCAGGCAGTCAACAAGTTTTTTTCCTTTTGTCAGTAATACCCGGTAACCCATGAAGTAATTAATCAGAAAACATTAGAATTTGTTTAGATTGTGTCTCATGATCTTAAACAATTTATATGAACTTTAGCCTCTAGAGTGAATGAATAAAATGGAGTTTTAGCCTCTAGAGTGTCCACAATATTTTTCAAAGTGATCAAGGGCCATATCAATATGCTTCCTTGACTCAAGACCTTAAACACTGTAATTTTTTTTTTAACCTATGCAACCGAACCATGACCAGTTTGAGTTAATCAAGTATCTTTTTTCTTCAAAAATCTTAATTAGCTGATGAAAGTCGGCTTCAGCCACTTGATGTTTGATAAGGCCGATTGATTAAAGAATGAACTGGCCCTACGGTATCATAAATCGATCTACATTCGGCTAAATTACAACAGGTTAATTATTACTGTCTCTAACTCAATATCTCAATTTCAATCAAAATTGATATTTTCATGTATTTTGCCTCTTGTTCAAAATTAGATAACATGCATTCTGACTCATTTTGACATACTGAGTCAAATATTAATGTGATATGAGTGTTTAAAAGTGATTTATATTCAATTTTTAAAAACAATCTTTTAATTTCTAATCAATTATGTTCTGTGAATAGGTGAAATACACCAACAGTGAAAACTGAACAGCAGTCATTTACACATACTTCCTCCATTCTACACGTTTTAGTTATTATTTTGTCGTTTATGGATCAGATATTACTAATGACATTCGCATTGTCTTGTAGGATAATATTTTTCTTTGTTCACTGCAAATGACGCCCGAAACAATAGAATACACAACTCGTGTATTGATTATAAAATATTCATTATGTCTTAAATATTGGAATTATCATCCCATATTTTCAGGGCAAAATAACATCAGTATTGATTTTAAATGGTCATCTGGCATAGCCAAAAAAAAAAAATGGTTACGCAGAGTTTAACCCTGCAACCATTTGTCTGGTTACGTCAAAATTTGAAATTTTGTGGCCTGCTGTTCTAATAACATTTTTGCAGAACCAAACTTTGTGGTTGCTTGTGAATGCTACATGTCATTGTTTGTCAACTTTAAAAACAGTTATTTTCAGTTGATAATAATAACTTACAGATCCCTGAACACTTCTTGAAACTTCAACTTTTAAATTTCTTCCCATAAAATCACTTCCATTTAAAGCACTAACAGCTGCCTTGGCTGAATCTTCACTCTCAAAGTGCTAGAAGAAAATTGTTAAAAACATTTAAACATAAGCTTAAATAAGAAAATTACTGTTACTTTCACACCGTCTCACACATTTGATTTCACAAAGAGTGACTACCCCGGTCAATGAAGTGATCCCAGTTCCTTAAGATTTTTAGGCCTGGTTTCTCCTTTAGTCAGAGGCAAGGTACAGTGTCTTGTTCAGTTTGAATCTGACGAGTCTGTGGAAACACTGGTGTCCACATTAATTTTTCCCCACCACACGTCTTGGCTTATGCCAGTTTTCATTAGATGATGCGAAAAGTAAGGATGTAACGAGTCAAAAAAAATTGAACCGGTTAACCGATGGGCAAAAAACCGACCGTGACCGGTCAACCGATTCACTTTTTAGTTGCGGAGTTATTAATCGCCGGACCGTACGCAGGATTAAAGTTTACTTTTTCACACTGTTTAACTTCGTTTTGAATATAAGAAGAGTTTATTTATTGCAGCTTATTTTGTTTTTCATTCAAATTTCTCGGAAGGAAACATTGCGTCGTCTAACAGTCAAAAAGGTCATGGTCTCACGTGGTCGTCACTCGCCCAGTAGCACATGCCGTTGTGTGACAGATCGGAAAATTGATACAATATTATTAGTGTTCGACCCGTTATAAATATAGGAATATTCTATGGCCCCACCTACCTCCATCTCAATGTGCAATGTTATAATGTAATCCATTAATAAAATATTTAATTCGACGTCTTTATTCGCGCGCACGGCATTACTTTCATTTTCATACGCATTTAATAGTCAACCTGTAGTCAAGATTACCCAGCCCGAAGATACAACGCAATAAGTCGCTCTTTTCTGGGGAGTCTTAGATCACGGTCAAAACATTATTATAACTTACATAATTTATATTTATAAATATTGCCGTATTAAAAGCTAATACTATAAAATTTGTATGTTTACCACACGTGACTGAACATGTGACCCAATCGAGCCAATGAAATGACGAAAAGATTATACCATTTGGCCACATGCCAGAGGGACGAAAGATACTTTGTTTACGGCATAATTTTTCTACTACGTTTTCGAGCAGCGAACACGACCGTTTTATTACCGGGAAATTTTTGTATCAACGTGTAATATGAACAAGAGAGCCTGGGCTAATGCTAGTTTACTACTAGGTCGATATACACTGACATTGTTATATAGAACGAATAACGGTCACAGGAATATCGAACCGGTCTGGTTGCAGAACCGAACCGTAACCGGTCAACCGAGTAACCGTTTACATCCTTAGCGAAAAGACAGGTTGTTCAACGGTAAAACCCCCAGTTCATTTTTTTTCAAATATCTACAACTACAAGCTTATGTGATTGTTATTTTTATATTTTCTTATCAAACTTGCATAGTTGAAGAACTGATTATATAGCCAAATTGAAATGAAATGGGGTGTAACGTCCTACAATTAATTATAACCCATGTTCTTACCACAAAACCATAGTTTCCTATAATAGCACATTCTGTAACTGTTCCATATTCATCAAACAAAGACTGAAGATCATGCTTTTCAACATTTTCTACTAAATTCCCTACATATAACTTTGTAGGCATTTTTGTTGTCTGAAAAATACATAAAAGAGGAGAGTGTGAGCTTAAATTATAATGAATGTAATTTTAAATGAGATCGTTGACCTGATTCCGGCTTCCTTTCATTTTAGGGTTAGAATCTTGAATGGGACTCTTGGAGTGACATCAAACATGAATTGAAGATAACAGAACATTTCGGGCTGACGACCTTTCAGATTTAAAACAATGTCCTCGACGTTTCAAATTCGGGAGCAAATTGAAAGAAAAGGTTGATCAAAAAAGTCAAATCAGTTAACAATAAACCCAAAACCATGTTATAAAAATAACATGCCGGTAACATTGACCATTTGTCAAATACTATAAATAATAGAACTGACAATGATCAAAGTGATATAATTAAAGCTGATAAACCGATAATGCCAATGTTATTGCAGTATGTGCAAAGAAATCTTATGGTTTGTTGATTGCAATTATTCTGTCTAACTCAAGACATTTAGGCTTTCAAAGTTTCACAATCATAAAAACATTGTCGCGAGCAGTCAGTCGAGCTTCTTTAATATTTGATAAAAGAAAAACAACGAAGTAACAAATTTTCAACAATGTTTTATTTAATCATCATTTATTATTGTCCGAAACCTTGTTATTATGACATCCGTACAGTTAAGTCCGAAAAGTCATCAGACTGTCTGAAAAGTTGTGCCACCGAATTGAATGTCATGCAAGTTACTGCAATTTTTTTTAATCGTTAATTTCTACTTGAAAATACTTTAGTGTTGAATTATCATGAATTTGCAGGCCTCGAAATGTTTAAAAAAAAGCTACCTGTAGCGACAGGTAGTTTTTCTTCATACCTGTCTTTTCAGTAAATTACCTGTCACTCTCAATTATCAAACTCAAAGACTAATCACATCACACTAGGGCTGTACGATATTGCAAAAAGGGACGATATCGATATTGGCATTTTTTTCAACGATATAGTAAAATATCGCGATATTTAATAATAATGTCATTTTGCTATTAAATAAATTAAATATAAATGCATTAAAGCTGACTACAGTGTGAGTAAGAATTGTGGGTAAGAATTGCTTTATTCAATCATAGGCCTACACTTTAAACGTTGCTTTTTTTATAATATAGATTTATTAAAATGAACAAAACATCCTTTTTTGATAAAAACATTTCAATGCTTTTTAACACAATAACAGGAGACATTACTTATGCAAGTACATATAATTAAATTAAATACAACCACTGATGTTTAAAAAGCGTCTGCTTGTGACCTTGAGTAAGAAAATTCTCAAATATCACGTGCAGTGGAAGTAAGTAGATGTGGTCTTCAAGTCTTGTATTGTAAGTTCAAACAGTTTAACAAATACTAAATGATCCGGACTATCTTCCATTCAAGCATTCGATTGGCTGCGGTTGGCCTAACAGTGACAGTAATCTATTTATAGATCGTTTTATTCTTGCTTTCAGAAATTAAGTTGCGTAGAGTTTTCTTAAAATATTCGTTTTTTAAAAATATGACAACCTATTTATAGCCGGGTAATTAGCCATGGTAGTGGGAAACTTCAGGCGTTTAGTAGCAACAACTGACAATTTATTGTCGACTAAAAACAAAGTAAAAGTAACGCATACACGATGTAGTGAAAAACGGCTGCGGACACTGCGCAAGTGTTTTCAACATTTAACGATTCTCAAAACATTAGTTTTATTATAGTTTATTGCCGTTGGCTAATTTCCACTGCTGTATAGTGTATTATCTATTTTTATGATAATTTTTTTCGATATTTGAAGTTTTTGGCGATATTCGATAAACCACTTTATCGACGATTTTTGGCCACCTGATATCGTAGTTGGGTCTGAAAATACCATATCGCGATAAATGACTATATCGAGAATATCGTACAGCCCTACATCACACATATCCATACATGTAGGTACACACGCACGTGGTTAGGTCTTTGACGTACATTGCTCTATATAAATATCGTAATATGAAACCTTTTTATTTCTTCGACATCGGATAGCCTAAAAGTTCTTGAAAGTCGGCGAATCTGCTTTGGCTCAGCGACTCGAAGATTCATACAATTCTATCATCCGTATCCAAGTGAATTCCGCAAAGTATCATGGTACCACACTTCCGTACTAAATCGAATACTTCACCGTTGAGTTGTAGAATTCAGATTTTAAAATATCCGTAATAAATTGAATATCAAAACACAATTCACACCTGTGCATGGCACCGTATTTACATCAACTGCGTGCGAAGGACATAACGCCACCTGGAATTCCCTTCTCACATATCCGGACTATATTTACCTACAAATTATATTTATATATGAAATATTTTTACGACCTGATTTTTTGATTTTGTCAAATTGTCTTATAAATTATTCATAGCCTTTATGGAAATTGTTTAAAACTTTTTACATGATTAAATACACCAAGCAACGAGCCGTGTGCATTTCCATTCCAACCACTACTATATTTACTGTGGTGTCGTTACGGTAGAATTTATTTAGATATAATACTCCATAATGCTATAAACTAGTGTCAAGTAGATGAAAACAAGCGTGGATGGTGTGAAATTCATTGATATAAAATTGTCTACTTCCAAACTGTGTGAGTAACTGTAACTACGACAGAGCGAAATGTAAACAGTGCAAATGGCGGCATTTCGCAGTATTTCCGTGCTTAATTCTTGCATTTAGAAACAAATAATTAAATGTACGTGACGTGGACGTGAGTATTGTGGTCAATTTACTGAACATCAAGTAAAATTAAGTCCACCTGTCGCAAGCGACAGGTAGTTTTATTTGCTACGTGTCAGACGAAAAAATCGTCTATCGGCGAAAGTAGACAGGCGAACATTTCGAGCCATGAATTTGTGTCAGATATGGCGAGAGATGGTTCCTTTTGGCAAAAAATAAAGAATCACAGTGAAAAATAAAGAATAACTGAAAAATAGAAGGTAAGGATTCCAAAAAAGCCTTTTAGAACAAAGATGGAGAAGAGCGGTATTTTCATATTGCAGCTATAGGGTCAGGGATAACAATGGTTCAACTACTGATGTCTTCTGTCTTGCTCCAGCCACATAGTGGATCGTTCTAAGCAGGGACGTAAAAAAACAACAAATTGAATCCACTAGCCCAGGGCTAGTAGTCTACTGTCAGACACTAGCTCAGCAATAATTTCCACTAGAAGCTTTAATATTTGTCTGCATGTAAAATAAAACTTAATAGTAGTTGGGAATGCCGAAGTTTGCACAAAATTCTCATCCCTTGCACACAGTCATAGTACATGAACATCAGGGATTCTATAATTTTTAGTTGGGGTTAATAGAGGCAAGAATTAGGTCTCAATAAGCTTTCATTCCCTCTGACTTCAACTACAAATATTTCTATGTTATATAGCATGTGTTCTGAATACAAAAAAATATGTACACCTCGCTATTTGTCATTTAATTCCTGTACAGAATTCAAATTCGTGTTAATAATATTCATACGATAGAAGATAGAATAGAATTGACGGGCCCGTACCTGCTTCAATTCCACATCAATAATATTCCTCCAAATTTACGTGTCTTTGTTTATACGGCATAAAATGAAAGCATAGTTTGTGATATCGAAATATCGTTCATTTATACGGCAGAAAATGAAAGCATAGTTTGATGTCGAAACATTGTTTGTCTTCTTTATAACAGAGTATTTTAAAATTACATCGGCGTAGTATCGACACCTGTATGGCCTCCATGTTATCGTCATTCGCCCATGTGACGCATTTTTTTCCCCCGCTAAAAAGAACCATTCTAGTTAGTGATGTAGAAAGCAATGAGAACTTGCGCGCAAGTTCCATTGTAGCTGCGAAGGTGTTTGTCAAACGGAGAAAAAATTAAACTGGTGTGTTTTAGCATTGGACAAAATAAAAGTGGGATGTTTTACAGCTTATTTCTCTATATCACTAATTTAATTCACAAACTATAAAAAAATCAGCAGTGAAAGGGCACTAGTTAGTCCTGGACTAGCACAGCCAAGTAGATCATTAGCATTTTTGGTAGCCTCGGGGGGGGGGGGGGGGGGGGGGGCATACTATATACCGGAAAACAACCGGAAAACACCATTTTATACTGAATACCGGAAAACACTAAATACCGGAAAACATCCTAAATACCGGAAAACACCCTAAATAGGTAACCCGGAGCCTGGTCCTCTGTGTTCGGTTTTGGACCAAGTGAGTGCCGATGAAGGAAGGTCAAGGTCATTACGATGTTCGTTTTACAAATAGGCCCCCCCCCCCCACCAAAAAAAATAAATAAAAAAATTTCCGATTTTTTTTCTCCAAAATTTTTTTGATGCCTATTATGTTTTGAATGTTTTAAAAGACGCAATCAGTCTACCTCCATCATTGACCATATTTTATTTTGTATTTTAATTTTAGTTTTCAGTAAATTTCAGCAGATTTAAGTGTTTTAGTATTTCAGTAGATTAAACACTGCCCTCAGAGGGCCCCATTATATGCCGGTTGCGCCGGTCTCCTGATTCTTACCAGTAACGCTGGCATCAGGGTGGTACGAATTAGTGGAAGGCACGACTAGGCCAACTCCTCTCTAGGTAACAAAAATCGCATCATAAAACAGCAAGTATCATCAAAAGCGAGTTAATAAATTTCTGAATAGTTCGAGTCGAAGTTCCAGGTTTAACCGCTATGTGTCCTAATCACCAAACGAAATGGATGCCATGCAATTCTCGGACAGGCTGTAATCTGAAGTGTCTACCCTTTCCAAGAGCTATCCATCTGAGCTTACTTTCATTCCAGGGTCAAATATAATCACTTGAACCATAATAATATTCAACATATTCCGAGGGCCGCACACAGGATTTTTTTCTGGATTACTTTTCGAGCTTTTTTCCCCAACTTGTTGACCAGTTTTCCTTGAGAAAACCCCAACTTTCGCCCAATTGTCCATGAGAAAACTACATATTCTATCTTACTGCATTGACGAAGTGGTAAGCTGGACGTCTGTGAAAAGGGTTGATCGATAAATTTTCAAGGAAGCAATTGTTGTTTTTGTTTGTGAAATAGAGGACTCTAGCCGATGAGGCTAATATCCCCCCCGAGATACTCAGGCAACCAATTTGTTTTATGTACTACTATCGTAATAAAACATTACTATGTTAACCACTTCCAGGTGGCTGAAGACTTACACCGGCGCGCTCTCTAAAAAAATCTCGGGCACAGTTTACTCTTCTAATTTTTCCGGTAGCTATTTAGTAACCCCCGGAGTTTGGTCCTCGTGTGTGGTTTTTGACCAGGTGAGCGCTGATGAAATAAGTTCATTAACATACAAGCGTGCGATCGCCCACGGTCAAAGAAAAATTTCTTTTCAGATTTTCTTTTAACAATTTCTTCTCACAAATTTCTCTATTTTTCCAGTATTTTTCTCTGTAAAATTATTTTCTACCGAATGTTTTTTTGTAAAACCAATTTTTTGGAAATTTTTTTTTTTTGGGACAAATTTTTTTTCGTCAAAAAAATTGGGGAGAAAAAAAAATCGGAAATTTTTTTTTGGGGGGGTGGGGGGCTATTTGTAAAACGAATATCGTAATGACCTTGACCTTCCTTCATCTGCGCTCACTTGGTCCAAAACCGCACACAGAGGACCAGACTCCGGGTTACTTATCATAGGTGTTTTCCGGTATTTAGGGTGTTTTCCGGTATTTAGTGTTTTTCCGGTATTCAGTATAAAATGGTGTTTTCCGGTATTCAGTATAAAATGGTGTTTTCTGGTTGTTTTCCTGTATATAGTATTGCCAGCCTCGGGCTAGTGGATTTTTACATTTTGATGACAAAAAAATTACTGACTTACAACTCCCTTAATTTCCAATTAAACCGACCCCAAACTGTACTGTACACAGCTTAACATAAAATATAATAAACCAATTCCCGTTGAAATAAAGGTGAAACCTTACTGCATAATTATAGGCCTATGATGTGATAAGACCCATCCGCGACGCGAACTTTTTGTCCATTTTAAAATGGCCGCTGAACCAGAATTAGAACACGCAAGTGATTTAACATCACCTCAAAAATACAAAAAAACTGTTTGGTACAGCAAGATACTACTACTCTTCACTATTTCTAACTTAATTACTTTTTCCATGCAAAACTCTTCACTATTTCTAACATAATTACTTTTTCCATGCAAACTGTGATGATAAGTGTTGAAAATTTTGCAATTGAACCCAATTTTACTTACGCAAGGGCTTGAACTAAATATCTATTGTAGCCGTAAATATGATAATTATCACCGCTAAAAATTGCAACTAGGCCATGGACGGATGTGTAGGGTCAGCGGAAAGGGTGAGACCGTGACTCGGGTCCGATCATAGACTGTTCCTAAAGCCTAGGCCTATGACAATGAAAAAGACAACACCAATGTCGGTTATATTGTTTCCACAAACAATAAGACAACATGATTGATTCTCATATTTCATTTGACCACGGCACAAAATTATTTTAATCGACTAATTGAATTACTATTCTTACCAAGATTTCATGAAATTTAGAATTTAGAAGAGAATCTCACAAAAAGTAACTAGATTTACAGTGCATAAGCTTTTCTCCTTCTAATACATTACCTGGGATGCAACAAAACTAAATGCTTAAGGGTTTTAGCCTTACCAAGTTAAGAATTGCTGAATAAATGAACGGTAAAATTAAATAATACCTTATCTCCGCACGAGACAAAATTGTGCTTTGCAAATGGACGCTTCAGCCCCAAGTCTTGATTGCCCAGTAGCAGTGGCAGGAAAATTTATGTTCGTGCGTGCGCATCAGTCCACAGGGACTTTTGAATTCGACCACTTTTTGTCAACAAATAATATTTTTTTCTATATTTGGTTATAAAGGGACATAAGAAAACTGTATGAAGTGCTATGATATTGGAGTATATTTTACAATGAAATATTTGTTATGTATTATTTAAATTTTATTTTAATCATCTCACGTTTATTAATCAATACAATTATTTTTTTACCATTTAGATTGAATTTCCCCTGTGGTAAGAATGGCTTCTTATCGGATATACGTGAGACCTGATATCCAAGAAACACAAAGGGGCGTGGAGTCTGCTTAATGTCAAGGCCGTTAGTATAAAAAGACTTCACACACTATTAACAAGTCATTTGGTCGTTTGACTTGTGTTCTGTAGGAAATAGAACGATAACTTCCAAAGCAACGGTTTTTGACTGTAATATTAAAACTACTGACGAAAATGATGTTAAATAGTAAAAGTTCGGGTAGAAATTTTTTTTTTTTTTTTAATTTGTGTATTAAGCTCTAACTATTTCCAATTTGGAATCCAAAGCACTGGTTCAGCAAAATAATTTAAGTAAAATTAAGATTATAAATTGCGGCTGCTAAATGAAATGAAATGGGGTTTAACGTCCTCCTACTGACGTACTGTTCTGTTGCGGCTGCTATTATTCCATTATTAGGCCTATGACAGTTGCAGGTAAAACCAGAGGGGACTAGATTTTGTCTCCATCCATCTTTTTGTTAGGCATTTTTTTTTTCTGGAGGGTTTCACCGTGGCTAGGTGGGTAAGATGCTGGCTCGCTAGCCTGCAGTTCGAAGCCTACATTGGCCGAAAAAGTTCATCCATGATCCAGATTTTCCAACGTGGTTCCCCCATGTCAGTGATGCAGGACGGAGGGCCTAACAAGGACAGCTCATTCGGATGGTTACGAAAAACCAATTAAGCTCCCGTGTATACATTGGCGTGCACGTAAAAGATCCCTTGACAGTTGGAATTCGATATAAGAGTAGGCCATAGTGCCGCTGTCCAGGCAAAATTTCCCTCATAGCACATAGTATGGCGTATGCCCATCTTCATTAGCCCAGTTCGGAGGAGAACAGTAGGATGTTAAACCCCATTTCATTTCATTTCTTTTCATTTGTTTTCTGGAAAGAAACAAATTCTAGTAATTTGATTGAGTACTGGTATCAGAAGAAAAAAACCCATTTGCAAAATCTTTTAATTTTTACAGATGGTAGGACTTCTTTTCTGCACCAACTGGATTAATGAATACATGCATAATATGCCATGCAGTTTACACGTTGGACATTGGTTTCCTCCCCAGCCAAACCAACCCCAATTCGAATGATTGAATTGAGGCTTAATTTTTTGTCAGGCCCACCACTCCACACCACTGATGAATTCTGAGGATCTACTTTCTCGTCCAACGTAGGGAAAAACCACTTAGTGAGCAGGTGTGGAAATCAATGATAAACTAGACATTTACCAATATATTTGATCCAGTGTAGCTAAAATTATTGGTTGATATTTACCCGATAATAATAAGCTAACAGTATTTTTCAAATATTAATCAGTCACTTTTATTACTTTTTTACCTGCAGATATGGAAAGTGAAATAATATCCACCATCAAGAAAAGAATTATGGTATTTGATGGTGGTATGGGAACAATGATTCAACAACAGAAATTAGAAGAAGAAGATTTCATTGGTGAAGAATTTAAAAATCATCCTAAAAATTTGAAAGGAAATAACGATATCCTTTCTCTTACAAAACCTGATCTTATATACAACATTCATAAGGTATTTCCTAACCCAAAGCGTCTTCTTTATTATTTATATATTTCTTTTTTTCTTTGTTATGTTTCCAAATTTTATTGAGGGATAGGGTGACTTCTAACATTGCAAGACAGGTCATGAAGTGTGGCCACTCAGGACACATGACAATTTGATGACAGATGCAAACTAGTTGTAGCTGGTAATGACACCAGTGGCATAGCTGGATGTAGGGAAGAGAGTGGGTAGTGGAGGGGTAAGAGGCCATGGTGGTTATTCACTGCCAATTTTCCTTTGGGCTCTGGCCTATGGTACCCATCAGTTAATCAGTTATACTTATACCCTCCCCTTTTTCAGATTTGCACTTCTGCTCAAATATAAGTGACAACATTGAAATTAGCCTGTATATAATATTTGTTCAGTACAATTATTAAATATCAATACCGCGACTCAATGAAAACACAACACTTTTATAAATCGATGATATTATTATTATTATTATTAAACATTTATATAGCGCTAGTTTCACCAACGGTGTTCAGAAGCGCTTTACAAAACAATGAGTACAATCATATACCAGTAAAACACCCCCCCCCCCCAAAAAAAAACCAAATAAAAAAAAAACCCTAAAAGACTATAAAAAGATGCAATATAATAAAATAATATATATCTAAGTAAAAGCTTTTTTGAATAAGTAAGTTTTTAAGAGCACATTTAAATGATTGTACCAAGTGGCAGGAACGAATATCAGTATCAGTACCAGATGGTTTTAAATCATTCCACAGGTTTGGGGCTAAAAATGAAAAGGATCTTTCACCATATGTAACCATTCTAGCAGATCTTGGCTTGAGACGATAAATGTCATTTGAACTACGGAGACTACGAGCATTTGTTTGTTTTTCAATTAAATGACATAAATAAGATGGGGCTAAGCCATAAAAACGTTTATAAACAGTTAAAAGAATCTTAAATTGAATACGATATGGAATGGGTAGCCAGTGAAGTTGTTTAAGTATGGGAGTAATATGATCATGCCTTTTTGTGAGGGTAATAAGTCGCGCAGCGGTGTTCTGAACTTTTTGTAATTTGTATATTAATTTATTAGGTAAGCCGGATAAAAGTGAGTTAAAAGTATCAAGTCTTGAAGTAATAAAAGCATGAACAAGAGTTTTAGTTGAATCAGAGAAAAGGAATTTGCGAATTTTGCCAATATTATGGATATTAAAGTAGCAGGATTTACAAATATTTTTCACGTGATAAGACATGGTCATTTTACTATCAAAATATGCACCAATATTGCGAACAGAGTTAATAGGAGTAATTTCATTTCCATCAATATTAATCAAAGTTGATTCAGTTATAGTATTAAGGTTATGATAGTAGATCCTGTTTGAGAGATTGATACACTTTATTCTTGCAACAACATCAGATCACAGCGATAAAATATTATGGGAATGAATTCACCATTGATTAACTCCCTCAAACACAAAAAATTAAATTTGACAGCATGGGGATGTGGAAAATCCCAAATCACCATGAGGTATAAAATGAGGCTTTTGAAAAGCTAGATCAGTACAATTCCTTGTGGAAGAAGCAAAGATATATGACACATGAACACTGAGAATATGTGTCATTGTGTTAATTCAAAATAGTATGAGAACCAAAGCAGCATTGTAACAAGAGTGGAGAAGCCTCCAACAAGCGTTGCATAGCCTGTGTGGCTTCTAGAGGTTTTACGCCTTGTGCCTGTATAATAAAGTTGTTATTGCCTCCATGGGTTTTTAGTTGATTTTAGTGTGTCAGTAAATGATTAGCCTACAATCTTGCCAAAAATCACATTTCAGCTGCATTATATCATGCCGGCACTTGCCATCAGATTAGTGGTTTGTTTTCATTTCACCTCAGTACATTTCATTTCATTGTTTTTGCCTTTCTTTAATGTGCAATTTACTTTTTTCATCCCCCAGGACTATTATGAAGCAGGAGCAGATTTTGCAGAAACTAACACATTTAGTGGGACACGCATAGCTCAGTCTGATTATGGAATGGAAGACCAGGTAAATCTAAGGTTGAGAATGGTTACTGACCATACTTCCAAGTCTAAACTGTGTCTGTCTGTATGTGGTATGATAGATAAAACAGGAATTGACATGCTGTTTTCTACAATGGACCTATAGGAGGGAAAAAACAAGTAGTCAAGCACGATAGCATTATCTGACATATAATTTGGATTAAATATATTTTAGGCTCCTGATGCTATTTCCAAATTTTATTTTATGTGATTAATTAGAAATACTGTACACAATCATTTTGATAAATACCAAATATTTTGCACTAAAATAAATATTATTAGTTGATAGTATTGATGTTTATATGTACCATTGAGAGACAAGAGTCATATCATGTAAATTTATTTTTATTTTATGTTTTGACCTTGATTTGATAGGTTTATAGACTAAATGTAGAGTCTGCTAAAATAGCTAAACGAGCTGCAGATGATGTTACAAAAGCAACAGGTGGGTAAACAAATAATGGAATTATGAAATTATTCTATTGGCCAAGGATATGAACAAATTGACTGGTTATGTTCCCCATAAATACTTAAAATAAAGTCCTTAAAAACACTTGTTGACCTTGAGTGATTGCTCTGTTTTCCCCAAACTGTTGATTTGAGAAATACAATTCTCATCTTTTTTTAGAATCATTAATCAAATATCATTAAACATTATCATTGATATTGTCACATTTTAACCCAAGAATTGAAATGCAATGTGGTTTAACATCCTACTTTTCTACATCGACTGGCCTAATGAAGAAGGGCATATACCATACAGTCTGCTATGATAGATATATAATAGATATTTTGTCCGGACAGTGGCACTACGGCCTACTCTTATTTCGAATTCCAACTGTCAAGGGCTCTTATGCGCATGCCAATGTGTACATGGAATCTCATTTTTCATCACACCCGAACAAGTAGCCACTTGTCAAACCAACTGTGAGGCCGTCCATCTTGCATCGATGACAAGGGGAAACCATGCAAAAAAAATCTTTAGAAACTTTCTCGGCTAATACCGGAGCAAACTGAGCCACCATGGCTCCCGTTTAAACCAAGACATATCTTGAACAGATTAACAGATGCAAGTGCGTGACCAATTAGAATGCTGATGTTCATTATCTTGTAACATATTTGACTAAGGAATATGTGTACATGTAATTTGAAAAATGCATTTAAATGATATTTTAATATGCTTTCAGGAATCAAGAGATATGTTGCAGGTGCTATGGGACCAACTAATAGAACTCTTTCAATTTCTCCATCTGTGGAGAAACCAGAATTTAGGAATATTAGTAAGCAATTGATTTTTATATGCCCACATTTTCATGTGGACGTATTATGCTGTTGTCCCTGTCCGTCCACAATTTGTTTGTGGACACTCTACAGGTGATTTTTATCTGATTTTGACGAAACTTGAAATATAGGTCTATCTCCCAAAGATCTTTGTTCCTTTCGATACTGGCATGTATCGGACAATAACTTCATGGATTATAGCCCCTGATTGTACGAAAAATCACGTTTTCAGCTGGTGGACATTCTAGAGGTCACAATTTTCATCTGATTTTGATGAAACTTGATATGCATGTTTATAAACCAAAGATCTTGGTTCCTTTCGATATTAGTGCATATCGAATCATAATTTCCTGAATTATGGCACCTGATTGTAAGAAAAATCACATTTTAGCTTGTGGTCCCTCAAGAGGTCACAATTATTATCCGATTTAAAAAAATCGTTCAAATATATCACTGTTAACCATAATGTTTGTTGAGTTCGAATATCGTGAAAATCGAACCAAAACTGTACATAAATGGTGTAAAAGTATGTAATACCAAGGTTGTGGGCCCTCTAGATGTCACATTTTTATCCGATTTTGATAAAACTTGAAATTTATGTTTATAACCCAAAGATCTTGGTTCCTGTCGATATTTGCGTATATCAGACTATTAACTTCCTGGATTATGGCCCCTGATTGTATGAAAAATCATGTTTTTTAGCTTGTGGATTCTCTGGAGGTCGCAATTTTCATCCGATTTTAAAAAACATTTAATTATATCACCATTCCACCATAATGAAGGTTGACTTTGAATTTCGGGAAAATTGAAATGAAACTAACCAACAGAATGGTCGCTCTTTGTACACAGAGTGGGTAAAAGTATGGAATTCGAATGTTGTAGACCCTCTAGATTCCACAATTTTTATCCGATTTTGATGAAACTTGTAATATATCTTTATATCCCAAAGATCTCAGTCACTTTCGATATTTGCACATTTTAGATAATAATTTTCTGGATTATGGCCCCTGATTGTACGAAAAATCACTTTAGTTTTTAGCTTGTTCTCTATCCATCTCTTACAAAATGTACTTAGCTACTGATAATTTATAAAAAGAAACATATGCAAGTTTCATAGACTATGATTTGATGCCAATAAATATTTTATTTTAGCATTTGATGAATTGGTAGAAGCTTATTTAGAACAAGCTAAAGGTCTGCTAGAAGGTGGAGCAGATGTATTATTGGTTGAAACCATATTTGATACAGCTAATGCCAAGGTAAAGAATAAAGATTTGTATTCATAGCAATATACTATAGAAAATGTGTATTAATTGCATCTTTGTTTAGTTAAAAAAAGAGACAATTCTAGATCCATTCACCAAGCATTAATTTGTTTAATGGGAATTAATTGTTTTTCTAAACTGAAATTGAGAGATTTCGTATAGCGTACATGATGATGAATGAATACTATTTCTGAGTGAAATCAAGCAAGGTTCATGAATACGTTATGTTTTTATTTTAGGCTGCTTTGTATGCCATTCAAGTTTTATTTTCTGAAACAAACAAGAAGTGTCCAATATTTGTAAGTATGTCAGACTTAGGAGAATTATTGCTGATACACTATCAATATAGCTCTTAAAAGTCGAGGTTATTGTGACATTTTCTGTTCAATTTACTTTGGTAACACAAATTTAATGATATTAGTAACCTGCCATAATCACAGTGAAAAGTAGTCTTAACAAAATAGACCAATTGATCTTAATGGAAGCTATGGCCATGAAGTTCACATTTCTATTGATTTCATGTTGTCATCTTTATTAGCCATTAATTGTCTGTCAGTGTTTGAATGATAACTCATTTCTATCCATGAAACATCAAGATAATGATATCTAAAGAACATTTATTCCAGTCCTTATTTTCATTAATTTTAAATACGGAAAATGTTGATTGGCATTCAACTGCATTATGCTTTTAATTAATAAATTGCAAGAATTGTAACATATTTACTTTCAGTTTTTATGTCGAAAAAAATAAACACAACTAACTATCTCAGATATTATTGGTTAAAACTTCCATCCCAGCTTTTATAAATGGTATATATATTGGATTCAGTTTGTTTATGTATTCAGAATCTATTGATTGAATAGTTTAAGACATTACTACCAAATAAATTTCTATATCAGTTAGGAAGATCTAAGTTGTTTAAAGCAGTAGTTGCATTTTTTAAAGTCATATGTTTAAAATATGTTAAAATAAAGCCTTAAAGCTGAACTTACAAAACTACATAAACAATCAAATAAAAAAAATTAACACACTAAATAATCGCCATACTTGTTTTCAAGTTGTAGAACAATCATGGACGATGGTACGGCGTACAAAAACAAGAGGCAGGCCACGCCCACATCCAGTTCACGCCTTGTCAACCACACTGTCCACATCCAGCTAGCAATATTTCAGCTGACTGATTGGCGTTTTTTCACTAACAGTTTACTGAAAGTATTATTGCTACCTAATTATTATATCTGATCAGGTACATATTATTTTACTAATTAGACGAAATAAGTAAACCACTGTGTACTTTTGCTCTAAAAATAAGAAACAACTGCCTTACCACAAACAATAACAAATCTACCAACAACACCACCAAATTCTATGTTGTTGACATAACATCAAGGGACATAACTACTTCACAAGATGGTGAATATTTTGAAGTGAAAACATACTTCTTTGGTGGAGAGAACAACAGTTTTATTGCTGCTTTGGATATATTTTGGAACAATAATACTAGACTTTATAATACTAGAAATTATTTGGTGTTTCCACGCTGTTGTACAAAACATTCAAGAAATAAGAAAAAAATTGTTTGTGTTGGTAGATTTGTTATTGTTTGGGGTAAGTCAGTTTTTCTCATATTGTTGTAACAGGGTCATATTTTGGGACTCTGTCAATTAATGTTGGTGAAGAATGTCCTGATCAGTGTCTTGATTGTTGGAAGTTTTTAATAAGTGAGTTTATAGTTTTGGTTGTGAGATAATGTAAATTCATTAAAATGTTTTGGGGGATGGATTTTCAGTTGTATGGGTCTGGAATTGTATTGTCCGGATTATGGTGTTTTATTTTAGTGGTTGAAATGTCTTAGTTCTTATATGGGTTTACTTTTAATATTTTTTGGTATAGTTGAAAGGATAACTCGTTGGACTCTTTATAGTTCTGAAGGTGGTCTCTTTCTGAAATATTGTTTATCAGGTGATTAGTAATTCTTTGTCCTGGTTGGTTATTCAGAAGTTTAGCTGGGATAAAACTAAATTACACGCATGCATCAGTACCACATGTTACAGATTTAGTGAAGGTCAATACCGGCTCTTTTCCACAAATGGGTAAGCTATTTAATTTAACTTTCTTGTAATAGATGACTGCAAGTGGACTGTGAGTTTCATGAGTGTTTGATATATAATTATATATGTAATTCAAATACTGTAAGGTAAAAATTGTAGGATGTGTAGCCAATAGAACTGTTGGTTACGAATATATGGATAATGGCAACTATTGTATTTTCAGGGCCAACTTGTCGAGCATAAATGTATTTTGTGTTATAGTTATGTGTAGTACCAACAGAAATGGTGTTTAATGGTTATGGTGAATTGAAATACATCTAGATCGACCAACATCGACTACGCGCTTACGCGTTTCATTTAATTGTTTTAAACTGTATCATGTGTCGTTTGTGGATTATATAAACTTATTTAAACCTTATCGTGTTGTCAATCAAGAAATCTATTTTCCCGAACTAAGCAGGTTCAATCTATCAACTTTACCACACCATTGCAGGTGATGGAAAGGGTAGGTCTGCAATAATGGAGCCCCCAGGGAGGAGTAGATTTTCTTGGTTGTACCAGTAACAAGTTGAACTGTTTAGTTTTCAATTAACTTATCGTTAGACTTTAAAGTGAATCCGATGGCGTTTAATTACTGACATTCAAATTTATATGCACATTATCATCAAGCTTGAATTCTCGTGACTTTGTGACAGTGTTTAACCACTGGAACTGAAATTATAACAGATTCTGGATGAAGATTGGAACTGTGTAACAGTGAATATTGAACATTAATATTATGAACTATTGATTAATTTAGTGTTAATTTGATTAATTTAGTGTTAATTTGTTTGTTTTCATTTATTTTTAGTGTCGGTAAACCTGGTATGTATGGTTGTAAGTATGGATGTTGACAGCACTAATAAATAAATAGGTCAAGTTTAAATAAGTTAGGGCATAAAATTCCGTAACTATTGATAATCTTAGAACATCATTCAATACACATTGCATTATACTAAAATATATAACAGTTATCCCAGTAACACTATAACTTGTATTGTCTTTATTTTATCAACAGTGGAGTTTTTTTTATGTAGAGTTTAGAGTAGTTTGGTCAGTTGATTGGTTTGAATATGTCGGAGGAAGAAGTTGTGGTCTTGGGTAACACACTAAGAAAGTTGGGTCTTTTTCCAAAGCGTATAGGTAAGACTGAAGATGACGTTGCTGAGTGGATGGAAGATGTTTTGAAATCTAAAGGTAAGTGGCCGGTTAAATCGGATGATGAAACAGAGTCGTCTACTAAATCAAGACCACCAGTTAATCCGATGCCGAAGTTGTCAATGTTTTATGGTGAACCAGGAAAAGGTGAAGTTAGTTACGACCTTTGGAGATACGAAGTAGATTGTTTAATTTCAGAAGGTGTATATGATAACCATGTAATACTGTTGGCTATTCGCCGATCACTTAAAGGGGAGGCCGGTAAGGTTATAATGCGGTTAGGTCCGCATGTTGATGTTAAAACTGTCTTAGCCAAATTGCATAGTGTTTACGGTACATGTGAAGAAGCAGAATCTTTAATCGGACTCTTTTACAGTGCTAAACAATATCCATCTGAAACGGTTACAGATTGGGCATGCCGGTTAGAAGATATATTCGCAAGAGTAACTCGAGAGGGTAGTCCAGATCCTAAAGAATCCGATGAGACATTAAGGAATGTATTTTGGCGTGGATTGTTGCCACACTTACGTGATTTGTCTGCTCACAAATATGATAAATCAACAAGTTTCGACACACTACGTGTTCAACTTCGCCGTATAGAGCATGATGTTAACCAACGAAACTTATCAGCGAGTACCGCTACTTCGAAGCCAAATCCTTTTAACATGATACATACAAAGTCTTCTAATTCTGAATTTCAGGAACTTAAAGGGATAGTTCACAGTATTTCTTCACAAGTTAGTGGATTGAAGGATCAAGTTTCGCAATTAGCTTATAAAGTTGACAGACCTAAGGTTCCACGATGGCAGTCACAAGGAAATGATTCAAGAGGTGAGATGTCAAATAATTTTAGTAGTAATAACCGGGATAATCGGCGTAGTAGTCAAGGACCGGGACCCAAGTGTTGGGCTTGTGGTCAGTACGGTCATATTAGGTTGGGTTGCAGAGCAGCATTTAACCAGAATCGTTCTTTAAACGTTCACAACCTCAGGCCAAGGGAAGCGCCCTGGGGTACTCCACGCAGAGACTTCCCAGAGCGACGTTGAAATCGAATTTTGTAGTTGGTGAACCTAATGAAGCCAATGTTAAAGTTGAGGGAAATTGTTGTACTGCACTTTTAGATACTGGATCAACTGTGTCTACTGTAAGTGAAGAGTTATATAATTCTAAATTAAAACATTTACCTTTACAACCGCTTCAAACTATGTTGGATATAGAATGTGCTGATGGTAAACCATTGCCGTATAAAGGATATATTGAAGCAGATTTACAGTTTTCAGAATTGACAGATGAAACAATAACTTGTATTTTATTAGTAGTTCCGGTGAGTAGATATAATTCATTGGTTCCGGTTTTACTTGGAACAAATGTATTGACTCTTCTGATGAAACAATGTAAAGATGAACATGGGAAATCTTTTCTCCAAAAAGCGAAATTAACCACTTCTTGGTATTTATCTTTTCGTAGTATGGATTTATCAGAAAAAGAATTAGTCAAACGAGATTTCAGTTTAGGAATAGTGAAAAGTGCCTCAGTCAATAGGATACTAGTTCGTCCAAATTCTCGTATAACGTTACCATGTTATGTTGATAAAAAGTTACGATACCCGAAGGTGTCGGTGATGGTACACCCATGTCAACGTTCCAGTATTTCATCTGATTTAGATGTTTCTCCATCCATAATGATGTATGATTACAATAATACAGATTATATTTCAGTTAACGTTTCAAATGTGTCTACAAATACTATTGTTATTTCACCCAAAGCTATTGTGTGTGAACTACAGCCGGTAAATATTGAAGATAACGAAGTTACTTCAGATGGATCCAATGCCTCGGTCTTAAATAAAGTAGAAATTGACGAAAGCGATTTATCAGAGGAAGAGATAATTCAAGGTAAGAACCTGTTGTTAAGTTTTGACGATATTTTCGCACATAATGATCTGGACTTGGGACATACATCCAGAGTACAACACAGAATTGAACTTATAGATGAACAACCGTTTAAGCAACGGCACCGCCGTATACCTCCATCGATGTTTACTGAAGTAAAAGATCATTTAAAGCAGTTGTTAGCATGTGGTGTTATAAGAAATTCACATAGTCCATGGGCATCAAACGTGGTACTTTGTCGTAGAAAGAACGGTAAATTACGCATGTGCACTGATTTCAGACAATTGAATAATAGAACGATCAAGGATTCGTACGCTCTTCCCAGAATTGATGAGTTATTGGATCATTTAGCAGGTAACAAATTTTATTCAAAGTTAGATATGAAGTCCGGATATTACCAGGTCGAAGTTGCCGAAGAACATAAGGAGCGTACCGCTTTCACAATTGGTCCGCTTGGTTTTTATGAGTATAACAGACTTCCTTTTGGTCTTTGTAATTCTCCCGCGACGTTTCAGAGGCTTTTAGAAGATTGCTTAGGAGATCTTCATTTGACGATATGTGTAGTGTATATTGATGATTTGATTATTTTTGCAGATTCATTCGAGGAGCATCTACAGCGCTTAAATAAGGTTTTAGAGCGTTTACGTCAGTGTAATTTAAAATTAGCACCTGATAAATGTAGTTTCTTTAAAAGACGTGTAAACTATGTTGGACATGTTATCTCCGAAGCGGGTATTGAACCAGATCCAGAGAAAATTGAGGTGATCCAAAAATGGCCACGCCCATTGAATTCTGTCGAGGTAAGAAAATTTCTTGGATTTGCTGGTTATTATCGTCGTTTTGTGAAAGATTTTTCGAAAATATCAAAACCTTTATCTATTTTGATGCCCACAACGGGTAAGAAAAATAAAAGTAATGTTTCCGTCAAGTGGAAGTGGGATATTGAGCAGGAAAATGCATTCTGTGAATTAAAGGATCATTTGTGTAGTTCTCCAATTCTTACAAGCTGTGACTATACGTTACCATTCGTTTTACATATTGACGCTTGTCAAACTGGTCTGGGTGCAGTTCTTTATCAGAAACGAGATAATTTATTGAAAGTTGTGGCTTACGCGAGCAGAAGTGTGAATAAATCGGAACAAAATTATTCTGCTCATAAATTGGAATTTTTAGGGTTAAAATGGGCCGTTACAGAAAAGTTTCATGATTATTTGTATGGGAACAAGTTTGTGGTGTATACCGACAATAATCCATTAACCTATATTTTGACTTCCGCTAAATTAGATGCAACAGGTCATAGATGGCTCGCCGCTCTTTCTGCGTATGATTTTGAAATAAAATACAGACCCGGGAAAAATAATTTGGACGCCGATTTATTGTCAAGATTACATAAAGAATCGGAATATATTTCACATGAACAGGTACATGTAATTTGTAATTCTATTCAGCCGAGTAATTATGCCGAATGTTTAAGTATATCACCAGAATTAGTGCCGGAGGTAAATTTAGGTCTAAATGGTATGACACCACGTGATTGGAGAAAGGAACAAGCAAAAGATGCCTCTATATTGTCTATTCTTAAATATTTAAGGTCGGGAATAAAGCCATTTGACAAGGAGTTCAACAAAGAGGTCCAAGTATTATGTCGTCGTTTAGAACACTTAAAGCTGAAACAGGGAGTTTTATATCGATCTGTGGAACATGAAGGGGAGATAATTGAACAACTCGTACTTCCAGGTCATTATAGGAAATTAGCATTTCAGGCTCTTCACGATGATCTTGGTCACATGGGTAGAGATAGAACTATGGTATTAATGAGGGAACGATTTTATTGGCCTGGTATGGCAAGTGATGTTGAACTTTGGATCAAGAATTGTGAACGTTGTTTGAGACGAAAATCTCCTACAAATATCCGAGCCCCTTTGGTGAATATAGAAACTACTCACCCCCTTGAAGTTGTTGCGATGGATTTTCTAACACTAGAACCATCTAAAGGTAATTATCAGTATATTCTAGTTATTACAGATCTGTTCACAAAATATGCTCAAGCAATACCTACACGGAATATGACAGCTCGCACAACGGCTGAAGTATTTTTCAATAATTTTATAGTTCATTATGGTTTACCAAGTCGGATACATTCTGATCAAGGAGCTAATTTTGAGAGTAAAATTATTAAAGAATTATGTAGTTTAGTAGGTATGGATAAATCCCGCACCACAGCTTATCACCCGATGGGTAATGGGCAGTGTGAAAGATTTAATCGGACACTTTTGAATATGCTGGGTACACTTACGCCGGAGAAGAAAAATGATTGGAAAATACAAGTAGCACCTCTTGTACATGCATATAATTGCACACGACATGAAACCACTGGATTTTCACCTTTCTATTTAATGTTTGGACGCCACCCTCGTCTTCCAATAGATTTAGCGTTTGGAGTGAGTCGAGAAGTGTCTAATGTGTCATTACATTCGTATGTAAAAGCGTTAAAGGAACGGTTACAACGTTCTTATGAATTAGCGATTAAATCATCAGAGAATTGTAAAGAAAAACAGAAGACAAAATATGATCGGAAAGTTAAAGGTATTCGTCTTGATATTGGTGATCGTGTTTTAGTACGTACTTTAGCGTTTCAGGGAAAACACAAATTAGCTGATCGATGGGAACCTGGCGTTTACATTGTTGAGGATCAACCTAATTTGGAAATTCCTGTTTTTGTGGTCAGACCAGAGTCTGGGCGTGGACGATCGCGTACTTTACATCGAAATAATTTGTTATCAATCAATAGCGTTGAACCCGTGTATTTTCCGACTCCAAAACCGAGAAAGCGAAAAATAGTAATTGAGTCTAAAGTAGCTGCGGAAAAATGTGTTGAATTAGATTCAAGTTCTGATGAAGAATTTAGTTATGTGGAAGCCAATGATCCTGTAAATGAGAATTACCCGGAGGTTATTCTTACGGGAGGAGGGGAAGGTGATCATGAAATTATCGAGGATATTGTTGAGGGGGATCACAATACCGAGATATTTCATGGGGCATCTAATGACGCATCTGTAAGTAATGAAAATACTGAGGTAAAATCAATTGAAGTTAATGTTTCAGGTGACGCCGTAGATAATAATCCAAGTCCTCTACCGGCAGATGTATCTATTGAAACAAGACCTCGCCGAACATGTAACCAACCTCAATGGATGCAGAGTGGTGATTTTGTTATGGCTCAAATTAATAATCCGTCAGATTGGTATGAGAAAGCTAACTATATTCATTCATTACATCTTTCAGGTTCTTTAAGCAAAATGGCTCCAGAGGTTAGTACGGCATTGTTGTCGTTAATTACTGGTAAGTAAATGACGGGACGTCATTTTTACGGTGGGGGGAAGTATGTAACAGGGTCATATTTTGGGACTCTGTCAATTAATGTTGGTGAAGAATGTCCTGATCAGTGTCTTGATTGTTGGAAGTTTTTAATAAGTGAGTTTATAGTTTTGGTTGTGAGATAATGTAAATTCATTAAAATGTTTTGGGGGATGGATTTTCAGTTGTATGGGTCTGGAATTGTATTGTCCGGATTATGGTGTTTTATTTTAGTGGTTGAAATGTCTTAGTTCTTATATGGGTTTACTTTTAATATTTTTTGGTATAGTTGAAAGGATAACTCGTTGGACTCTTTATAGTTCTGAAGGTGGTCTCTTTCTGAAATATTGTTTATCAGGTGATTAGTAATTCTTTGTCCTGGTTGGTTATTCAGAAGTTTAGCTGGGATAAAACTAAATTACACGCATGCATCAGTACCACATGTTACAGATTTAGTGAAGGTCAATACCGGCTCTTTTCCACAAATGGGTAAGCTATTTAATTTAACTTTCTTGTAATAGATGACTGCAAGTGGACTGTGAGTTTCATGAGTGTTTGATATATAATTATATATGTAATTCAAATACTGTAAGGTAAAAATTGTAGGATGTGTAGCCAATAGAACTGTTGGTTACGAATATATGGATAATGGCAACTATTGTATTTTCAGGGCCAACTTGTCGAGCATAAATGTATTTTGTGTTATAGTTATGTGTAGTACCAACAGAAATGGTGTTTAATGGTTATGGTGAATTGAAATACATCTAGATCGACCAACATCGACTACGCGCTTACGCGTTTCATTTAATTGTTTTAAACTGTATCATGTGTCGTTTGTGGATTATATAAACTTATTTAAACCTTATCGTGTTGTCAATCAAGAAATCTATTTTCCCGAACTAAGCAGGTTCAATCTATCAACTTTACCACACCATTGCAGGTGATGGAAAGGGTAGGTCTGCAATATTGTTTAGAGCAAAAGTACACCGTGGTTTACTTATTTCGTCTAATTAGTAAAATAATATGTACCTGATCAGACATAATAATTGTGTAGCAATAATATTTTCAGTAAACTGATAGTGAAAAAACGTCAATCAGTCAGCTGAAATATTGCTAGCTGGATGTGGACAGTGTGGTTGACAAGGCATGAACTGGGTGTGGGCCTGGCCTGCCTCTTGTTTTTGTACGCCGTACAATCGTCCATGATTGTTCTACAACTTAAATGAAAACAAGTATGGCGATTATTTAAGGTGTTAATTTTTTTTTATTTAATTATTTCTGTAGTTTTGTAATCGGAGTTCAGCTTTAAAACTCATGGATTCTATACACAGTCTTACCTTATTAAAGTTAATCCTATAATTCACTATTGTCAGTTAAGAAACTGGCAAATATGAATATTTTCAATTTAAAACATCAATTTTGAGCTTTGCTAATTCCATAGAGTGTTTATAGAAACAAGCGAGGTGATTTTGCTATCATTTCCCGTGTTATTATTATTTTAAGAGATAGAATGATCCCTATGATTGTGTTATAGTGTTTGACAACCTATCAAGGAATAGATACAGAAATAATTATGTTTTGATTTTCTTAGAAAATATGCAACTATTGCTTTAAAACTATGTTCTATGTGTTGAATCATCTTGACAGATTAGGACAGAAAATACAAATTTAATAATTCCCAAGCCTTAGAAGTATACTTGTTAAATTTTCTGACTATTGCTATAATGATTTGTAGGTATCTGGAACAATTGTTGATAAAAGTGGTCGAACATTATCAGGTCAAACAACTGAAGCTTTTCTAATCAGTGTTTCCCATGCTGATCCAATGTGGTAGGTTTCTATATTATAAATTTCAATATGTATTCTATTTCACAATGGAAATAGTTCTGCTTCAAACTGGGCTAATGAAGACCGGCATACACCATACAGTGTGCTAAGAGGGAAATTTTGCCCGGACAGCGGCACTACGGCCTACTCTTATATCGAATTCCAACTGTCAAGAGATCTTTTACGTGCACGCCAATGTGTACACAAGATTTCGGGTTTTCGTCCCATCCGAATGACTAGACAGCTGTCCTTGTCAGGCCCTCTGTCCTGCATCACTGGCAAGGGGGGACCACGCCGGAAAATCGGGATGAACTTTCAAGGCCAATGCAGGGGTCGAACACCTGACCACCAGGCTAGCGAGCCAGCATCTTACCCACTTAGCCACCGTGACCCCACATTTAACAATGGAAAAGGGTTGTAAATTTAATATATATTCTGTAAAATTTCATTTATTTATGAAAAATTCCTTGACTAATGTATGAATGAATGTTATACTTATTTTTATTTTTCACAGCTTGGGTTTAAACTGTGCATTAGGAGCAAGTGAAATGAGGCCATTTATAGAAGCTATAAGTTTAAATACTACAGCATACACAATATGTTATCCTAATGCAGGTAAATAAAACTACAACCCTTTATATACCTGTTATTTTTATACCAAAATTATTTTGATTGTCAATTCCTATTGGAAAGTATCATTTATTTCTTCCAGAAATTATTAGAATTTTACCAATATTTTTTACTTTTATATACCCCCAATTCTTGCTGTGTTCACATTTGTTGCAAACCTTTAGAGGTCAAAGTTTTTGAAATTTCTCAGCACTTATATGGCTAGTCATAAAGAGGAATCCTATCAAAATTGCTCCTGTCACTAGGGCTGTACGATATTCTCGATATAGTCATTTATCGCGATATGGTATTTTCAGACCCAACTACGTATCATTTGGCCAAAAATCGTCGATATAGTAGTTTATAGACTATCGCCAAAAACTTCAAATATCGAAAAAAATTATCATAAAAATAGATCATAAATACACTATACAGCAGTGGAAATTAGCCGACGGCAATAAACTATAATAAAACTAATGTTTTGAGAATTGTTAAATGTTGAAAACACTAGCTTGCACAGTGTCCGTAGCCGTTTTTCACTGCATCGTTGGGTCTGAAAATACCATATCGCGATAAATAACTATATCGAGAATATCATACAGCCCTAACTAAAACCATATTAATTCTCTACAGGTCAGAGTTTTTGATACTTCTTTTCCAACTTTGTGGGATTGTTCTGCTAGTCCTATGGAGGAGAGGTATCAAAATTAAGAATCATTACTGCCCCACTATTTTTGGCAATTCCTTTGACTGAAAACTGGGTAATGACAGAATACCTTTTAGTATCATAATTATTTTAACTTTTTGTTCAGGTTTACCAAACACCTTCGGTGACTATGATGAAACTCCTGCTCAAACAGCCAATCAAATAAGGGTATGAACAAATTGGTATTATTTATATAGACACAACTATTATGATAGGTCTGACTAATTTTATATCTCTATTTGTAGTCATTAACCTGTAATCAATAGTCTATTTATTAAGGTTTATACTGTTTTGATTTATTTCTGACAATTTTTTAATTGGAAGTTTGTATTCAATTATTTGCATTTATCTTCTGGTATATTTTCAGGAATTTGCTCGGGATGGTTTAGTTAATATTGTTGGAGGATGTTGTGGAACAACACCAGCTCATATCAAGTAATTTTTTTACCTTGTTGCATCTTTTACCCTTTTATAGTAAAGTATAACTCAATTCTGTGTGTTACATAGCAATATTTGGCATATCAGCTGATTATCTCGAAGTGATCATATGTTCATAAACAATGAAACCAGTCAAATGTGACATATTATGATTGTGAATAATATTTTAGACATTTTTATATATAATTGCACTTCATGTTGAGGGAGAATGGCTTCCGGTCTATCCAGTTCATTGCCAATTTTAACTGGACCAATGGTGGGAACAAGACCCCGTCCCAAAAGATTATAAAAAATATATGTTATAGTATATGGCCTTAAACTAACAAATCCAAAATTTTACCTCTCTAGGTCAAAAACTCGCTGAGATGTGGTCATTTGAAATCAGGGTGCTGAAATGAATCATAAATTCAGTAATTTTTTTCAAGATTTCAGGTGCTTTAAACTCGTATTTCTAATAGGAGTAGAACTCTCTAACTTTGTAATCTAAGACAACTTTTGGTGTAGATTACGAATTTAGCATCACACTCAATGTCCAATTCTTGTGTGCCCCACGATAGATAAATATCTCCAAATATCTTGACAATTACTCCAAAATATATATATATATATATACTGAAGCGTGCATATTCCCTGTGTGGAGTTCAGGTTTCTGTAAGGAAAATCTTCGCTGTAGGGGCACCCTACCAATGCTTACTTTTCGCGCCACCATGTGGCAAAATGTGGAACAAATGAACTATTCACTCTTGTTTTCAGGATTTCGACAGCCTCTGGCAAAGTCACTATTGTATACACAAACTCCAAGATAGGCTTAGTTAATGCCAGTTTGACTTTTATCAATTTACGAAAGATTCTGAGTTGATGGAATGTATACTTTTAAAAATATGCAGTCTCGAAATTCAACGCACACTGAAAACGTAGAAAATATACCTATTTTCACCTTCAATTTTGGCCATAATTGGACAGAGGTAAAAATTCTGAAAAAGGTTGATAATGAAACTTCATTTACCCTGCTATAACATACATTAAAGTCCATCTTGTGTATTTGATGGCTTATATTTTTAATTGGCACTGGACTGGAAATCTATGCGGTGATGAAGTTTTAATGGCTATTATCAGAACTGTTGACTTTTCACATTGATTTTAAAATATACTCCTCAAACTAGTCTATTTAGAGTGACTTTTTGCGTAGATTACAAATATGTAATCATTTTGGATGTACATTGTATTGTTCTAATTTTATTTTGCCTCCAAAATGAGAACAAAATGCTTAATATGCTTCACGAATTGGAATATTGGTTTTGATTATCAGATTAAAATTATTTCTGAAAGACTTAGACATAGACTAAGAATAAAGACCCTTGGGATCCAAGGAGTATCATTTCAATTTAGTTTTGCTTTTTAAGTGTAGGATAAAGCATGAGACTAAGACTGAAGAAAATAACCAGAGTTTTTTGTCGAGGTTTTTTCTAAAGTCTTATGAATGAATATCAAAGCAGGTTTTGATATACTACATATAAATATTTTACAGGGCTATAGCTGATGCTGTTAAAGAATTTGCACCACGTGAACCTCCTAAAGATCTCAATAAAGACTGTTTGATGTTATCTGGTAATTATTCATATTCAGTTTATTTCATTATATAGCTAATATGAATACTACTAACACAAACAATAAAGCAATGAATTAACCAAGACTTAACCATGATCTTAGTTTAATCATTCTAAGATAATTGATAATCCCTTTCAAGTGTTATTTTACCACTCATCAGAAAACCATTTTTGGATTTAGAGATTCTACTTTCACAATAATGTAATTTGCAAGGCATTCAACATCCCTCAAATGACTATCAGCAGCTTTAACATATTGGAATTTATGTAGGGAAGGACACAATTATAATTTTAGATTAGATGTACTTTTATCTAATGAATTTTATCTTACAGGACTAGAGCCAATGGCTATAGGAAAGTTTGCTATATTTGTAAATATCGGTGAAAGGTGTAATGTGGCAGGATCTAGAAAGTTCTGTCGTTTGATTAAAACTGGGAACTATGAGGTATCAGCACATTTACTTTATTAATGTAGACTATATTATTGTAATGTGCTCTTTGTCTTAATACAATGATGCTCTTCCTGTTATACATTGTTCTGTACAATGGATTTTTTTTCTCCTAAAGTAGACATTAATAATGTTATGTAATGTGATGTTATCACATACCAGGACAGGTGACAGAGTTTAAACTTAATCTTGACATGGTTTGTTTTTTGTTCTTCTTGGGCCTCAACACTCTTCAAATTAAGCTAAAGGCTCTGTCGTCAATTCAAGTATGCTTAACATGAAATTGGCATGGTTGTTCCTTATACAATTGGGCATTGATTGACAGACTTCTTTTTTTGTTATGACGTCTCCATTCCAAGGTTGCGGCTGTGACGTCATGCTTGGTTCCTGTTCCACAGACCATAGTCCATAATATATAGTCCAGTAAATATGAGGAAATTTGTTTGTTTCATAGCAGTTATTTTATGCTGATTGCTCTATTTTGATAATAATTGCATTATTTGTTTATTTCCAGGAAGCATTGAGTATTGCTAAATTACAGGTTGAAAATGGAGCTCAGGTATTAGATATTAATATGGATGAAGGTTTATTAGATGGAGTAGCTGCCATGACTAAATTTATTAATCTTATATCTAGTGAACCAGACATTGCCAAGGTAACATATGATGTAGTTAATATTTCAATACTGAGAGATGTTTCAGAAATTTTCGGAAATATCGTTGATGAATACTCAAAGGTCAGGAAAGGATTTGTGAAAGGATTTGTGACTAGCTATCTGTACAGTACTAAAACTAAATATTAGGGTGACCCGTGCACTCTAGAGAAAGTTGGTCTCGACACGGCTAAATGTGCATGCTTCAGTTGCGTGTCTTGAACTGATTTCTGACTACCCCGCACTCTCTTTGAGTTGATAAATAGCCACCGCACGTGCAATTCTCTACAAATATATCAACTATTACAGCTGTAAAAAATCTATTGTTGACGATTTTGAATAGCAGTAAAATTTAGCGTCTTGGTTATTACAGCAGCTTTAGAAATTACGTTTGTTTTATTTTTTAAATTGCTTTATCATTAACTGTACCATTAAGAGCGGCTTCTTTTGGTTTAGTACAAATACTATCTCTGAATCACTTTCTTTAGCAGGAACATGATACTAGCAGTAGTTTCATTTTACTTTTACAAGTTTCTTAAAACAATTGTTGAGTTGTCTAAAGTGCTTATTTCTAAATTCAATTTCCTTGTTCTAGCTTTCTGTTATGTTTCGTAAAAAAGTAGTCTTGATTATCCCGACCTGTCAATCAGACGTAGAATGGTCGATAGACTGGTTAAGCGAGACTAATTTCAAAACAAGGGCACGTAACCTATCTTTTACTCAAAAGTGTCTGGATGTTATGGACGACACTTGGAACCAGTTTTCAGTCTATTATTTATAGATGATTAATGGTCATAGCTTATTCAGTACAACATAATCGTTTATTTAGTGACTATAATTGTGTGAAACTGATTTGAGGCTTGGCATATATATAAATATTGTGGCGTAATTGTCGAGATATTTGGAGATATTTATTTATGGTGGGTCACCCTATAAATATCTTCTTCATTGAAACAGTAGTTAAGATTACCTATGGGCTGCTGCTGTTTGCTATATAGTTAGATCTTTGTGTCACCTTGAAATTTGTATGTCAGTATGCACAGTTCCATCAAAACATTACATCCTCCATTCTTTGACCCGTAGTAATGGACGTCACCATAAATAATAAATAAAATGATAAGGAAGATGTTTATCTGCATTCCTTTTCATTTCATTGCACAAGGACTCTGAATCATCCTGATAATTATCAGTACTCAGCAAAAGTAACAAACTGCTTAATTTCTATTAAGTTAACATTAATTACATATCTTTTAAACTGTCTTTTTATTAACCAATATTGTTTATTGCTTTCATATTTTTTAGGTGCCCTTATGTATAGATTCATCTAATTTTGCTGTAATAGAAGCAGGTTTAAAATGTACCCAGGGTAAATGCATTGTTAATAGTATTAGTTTAAAGGAAGGAGAACAAGATTTTATTAGAAAAGCTGAACAAATAAAAAAATTTGGTGCTGCTACAGTTGTAATGGCTTTTGATGAAGAGGGTCAGGTAGGTTTTTCTATTGGGACACTTCTTTTGAGCATTCCGGAATTAAAATTCTTTCAATACCTTAAAAGATGTAAACACAAGAATTGTGGAAGACAAAGCATGTGCCAACTGAATATGATAATAAATCAACCAATCACTATAATATGTTTGCAAATCGGTTAAATCATAATGTTCCATACTGTCGATCGAGCATGCACTTTATCAGATCACCGCAAGTGGATAAAAATTAAAACATTTAATTTTAGGGAAATCATTTTGTATTTGTAAGATTGATGTCAATGAATATTAGCTGAAATGTGGGAGATTTGTTTAGGTTGAGAAGTAACACATGAGACTGATACTGGAAGTGTGTGTTATTGACGTCTACTTTCACAATTTTAATTAATATCTTGAACAGTAGATGTAGTTAAATGTTCTTATAAAATGACTTGATGGATTCCATTTTGTTTTTTAATCGATGACTAGCTTTTATATTTTATAAGTTTAATTAGCTTGTTGGGAAGTTCAATCAGAAGTATTCTAACTAGAATGATGTAGAATCGGTTAGATATGTTGTAGATAAAATCTTAATTGTCCCCCGCCTTTCAAAGAAAGGTTAGGCAGAGCGATAAGCAATTTGATTACTCAAGACTTTTTAACACAATAACTCTCCTTCTAATTGAAGTAAAATGTTAAAACTTGGTGTAGGTGTTCATTTGGTGAATGCCTTGATGGAGTTGGATGATGAACATTGTCTGTTTACAATAAGCAGAGATAAGCAATTTGATTGGTTGATGCTTTTGGGCACGATAACTTTAGTTCTAATTAAGTGGTAGCTATGAAACTCTTGAGTATATATTCATTATATCATTACCTTGACTAGGTTTGATGAGAATTTTCTGCTAACATTAAGGAGCGATAAGCAATTTGAGTGGTCAAGATTTTGTTACATAACAACTCTGCTTTTAATTGAGGTAGAATGTTTGAACTTGATGTTGATGTTCATTAGGTGAACGTCTTGACTGAGTTCAATGATTAACATTTCCCGCTAAAGCTAAGCAGAGCTATGCAATTTCTTTGACTTTGATTCTATCTGATAGAGAGTGATGAAACTTAGTGTATAGTTGATAAGGAGTTTGATTGCTCGATACTTTTGAAAATATAAACGTGCAATTAATTAATATGTGTCATCTATTTATTATTTTTTTTCGGCGGGGGACATCAGCCTCACTGTTGGCTTGTTTCATTTCATTTCATGTCATATTTTTCCACTGCAGGCTACAGACACAGAAAGAAAGTTCAGTATTTGTGAGAGATCGTACAATATACTGGTGGATAAAGTAGGATTTAATCCTAATGATATTATATTTGATCCTAATATATTAACTATTGCTACTGGTATAGAAGAACATAATACATATGGTATAACATTTATAGAAGCTTGTAAACTTATCAAGGTTATTATATTATAATTTATTCTTTATTATAATGTTGCGGTGTGTGTGTAGTCGAGTTGTCCAACACATGTGCTTTAGATCCTAAGGTCTGTCATTGTTTTGGTCCCAAGCTTGTATGTGACACGGAATAGGGTTGCCTCCCACTGCTAAAGACCCATACACTCAAGCGAATTATTGAAGTAAAATTTATCTTATATTATTATTAGTCCAGAAATGGCCTGGTTTGTGTTGAGTGGACATAAAACCCTATTTCTCTCTCTGTCTTGAATTCAATGTGTTGTTAAACATTGATGTATAGAGTATTTATAGAAATAGCCAGCAGTTCTCTTTAGCTATTCTGAATCTGTTAGGAATTGTCACAAATAGATGACTCTCAGTTTTCGAATTGCTTCATTTTGAGTTTCAGATTGAATGATTACACTTCAGCGTGGCCAGGTAGTAGAAAAATACAATATAAAAATTGTAATAAGGAATTATGTTTGTTTGGAAAAATTTGCCTTTTGTGATAACCTGCCCCCAGAGATAATAAGATATTTGATAATTAATTGATGTTATTTGTATTGATATTTTTAAGGCTAAATTACCAGGAGCTAGAGTGAGTGGAGGTGTGTCTAATTTCTCATTTTCATTCCGTGGTATGGATTCTGTAAGAGAACCGATGCATAGTGTATTTCTCTATCATGCCATCAAGGTAATTTTAGAGGACAATATTAGTTTTACAGTTTTTAGAATTTATTTGTAGATAATTCTTTTTTTTTAGTCTTTTATCAAAGTAAATTATATTGATTCTTTTAATTCAAAACAAAAATACAGTATTTGAGTATATTGAGCAATTTCATGAAATAATATTTATTTACAAAAATAATGTGCTGATTTATATTGTATTGTTTGCTATGTTGGGTAATTTCAGGCTGGAATGGATATGGGTATTATAAATGCTGGATGTTTACCAGTCTATGATGATATTAAACCAGAGTTATTACAACTGTTAGAGAATATATTGTGGAATAAAGATCCAGATGGAACCGAAAAACTTTTACAATATGCTCAGGTATCATAATGTTATGTAATTCATTTTTTCAACTGAAAATATTGTTTTAAATACGTGTACTGTTTCAAAGCATACAGACATTTCCTATAGAGCAAATCTAATTGTTAGTCCAGAGCTTTCAGAATAGCAGAAACACAATCAAGGCCTGTGCAATTGGTGGATATATTTCCATTGTCAGTTGGCATGTGCTTTGTCACTCAATCAGGGATGGAATTTCATTTGAAAACACACAAGCAAAATATTGCTTGTTGGTTTCAAATGAACAAGCAAGAATTGGATTCTGAAGAAATTGAAGGGGCAATTCTTTTTTTTGAATGAAAATATTTCTATTATCTTTAGATTACAAGCTATGTTATACTTTGGAGTATGCACATATTCCTTACAATTTCATCAATCTGTAATGGCTAATCATCTTTTACCATTTTATTGTAAGATTTTTACCACAATAAAAACGATCAGTTAGGGGAAAAAAACAGAAGAATTCCAAAAAAGGAAAATAATCAATAAACTTTCCATTTTTGGTCATAATTGCGGTCCTAATTTTGTGTAAAAGAAGAAACCATGTTATTCAGTAACAATAAGAGAAAATATGTGTTACACACATTTTGTATGTTTGCAACCTTCAAATTTGATCCTTTCTCAATGTTCTAGTGTTTATTGTTGCTGTTCATGAGATTTTGAGAATTCTTTCAGAATTTTAGTATACTTGAATTGTCACTGTGAATGAAACTCCCCTATAAATTAACTTGTTGTTTCATTTGAATCAATAATCTTTGAAATTTGTACTGTAGAAAAATGGTAAAGATGCTAAAAAAGTCCAGTCCGATGATGAAGAGTGGAGAAAAACCACTGTAGAAGAAAGATTGAAATACTCTCTTATCAAGGTGAAATATGTACCTATATTTTTGAACTATATATCTATATAAGAGTTTACACTAGTCGGCTAATTATTAATTGTTGTCCACTGCCTTTCAAAATAAATCCAAGTGACCAATAAAATGGGTTCCAACCAAATTTTGTAGATAAGTTGCTTGAATGGTGAGTATTCATAGATGTTCATATGAAATTTGTTGGTGCCGTTTGGGGGGGGGGGGACCAAGGCACATAAAAGATGCTAATTCAGACTTTTCCATACTGTTGCAACTGCCTCAGCTAAAATCCCCTGAGGCAGTATCACTGTAATCCCGGGTAACATTGTATCTTGTTTATTTAGCACTAATTTCTTTCACATTTCTTTAATATCAAATCTTTGTTTAAAAATTCGTAAAAATCATTTAAAATCACCAAAAATTATCTAATTTGTACTTGTGTCCAGTTTTCTCAGCTCCACCTGGGTAATGTTGAGGCATGGTTAAGGCAGAAATTTGGAAATTTTGTTGAAATAATATTTCTATGGTACCTACCCCAACCCCACCGATGTTTTGATAGAGAAAACAGGAAGTTAATTTATCAATTTTAAAACCATTTGTATGATTTTTACAGGGCATTGATAAATATATTGTTGAAGATACGAAAGAAGCAAGAACGAGTTTTGATAAATATCCGCGACCTCTTCATGTTATAGAAGGACCTCTCATGGATGTAAGTAAATTAGAAATCAAAATGGTTTATAATTAAAAAATTCAATAAAATTAAATTCTATCCATAATTTTCTTTGTTTGAAATGATTTGAAGATATTGTTGTGTTGGGATCACTACCTTCTAGATGCCTTCTATATATCAGCACGTGGATGGACGGTCATGTTCATATCTCAAACCCCCCTATATATTAACACAAGACATGTTCGTACTTCAAGCAAGCACACTCCGGAGTATGTGTGTCTGTTTTTATTAACTTCAATCTATATATTACAGTGAAGAGTCGACAGGGGCAGATAACTCCCGTCTCACATGACTTACAATATTGATCATCCAGTAGAGAGAGGATCAATACGACATCCCCCTTTCTTCCAAAAAGAAGAAACTGGAGTATTACAACATATTGACAAATTAAATCATGACTTACAATATTGATCATCCAGTAGAGAGAGGATCAATTCGACATCCCCCTTTCTTCCAAAAATAAGATACTGGAGTATTACAATTGACAAATTAAATAGTATCTATATGACATACCCCTTTCTTCCAAAAAGAAGAAACTGGAGTATTTACAACATATTGACAAATTAAATAGTATCTATATGACAATATTAACATTAATTCTTAAATCTGTTTGCTGCTTAATCTGCTTTACTATTAACATATTTTATTATGTCCACTCTGCTACTGACCATAAACCAAAACATCTTGGTTTGTGAACTTATCATTAACACCTGGACAACGTCGCAATGGCGGCTCTCCATTTTTATATGCCCACATTGAAATGTGTTCATATATTATCGTTCCCCAGTCCATCCGTCGGTCGAGCATCCACAATTGCTTTTCGACGCTCTAGAGGCTAAAGTTAATTTCCGATTGACTTTAAATTTATACATAGTGTTTAAGTTCATGAGACGATGAAGCCTATCGATTTTCAGGGATTTCCGATAATTACTGCCAGTTTTATGGCCCTTGATCATTTTGAAAAATTTTGTAAAGGCTCCAGAGACCAATGTTAATATCCGATTGACTTTAAATTTACACAGTGTTTAAGGTCATGGGACATGGACGCTTACTGATTTTCAACAGTTTCCGATAATTACTGCCAGGGTTATGGGCATGATGGTCCTTAATCACTTTGAAAAATCTTGTGGATGCCCTAGAGGCTAAAGTTTATATCTGATTGACTTTATATTTATACACAGTGTTAAAGGTCATGAGACGAAGAGGCCTATTTATTTTCAACGATTTCCAAAAATATTTCTGATTGTTGTAGCCCTTGATATTAAATATTTTATTATATACTAAGTGTTCGTATAGTGCCGAACTAGAAGCCAAATGGGTTGTTACTCATAATCAGAGTATAATGTGTTGTAAGTGTTTTCATTACTGACAAAAAAAAACATATACACGACAACCTTTGTTGTCTGCCCAGAAAACTTAGCTGCTGTGGACATATTTTTTGTTGCCTGGCAACCTATCTTTGTATTATTTGTTTTATCTATATATTGTTAGGCAGTTTTTCTGCATTATTTATTATTTTAAACTTAAACCTTAGTCGACTTCATTACAGGTTGTAGTCCACAATGAACCATTTCTATTTATTTTATTGCATGAAATAATTACATGCTCTCAAAATGAGTAATGTTCTAATAGCATAATTGTCCCCCGCGTTTTGAAGAAAGCAGGGGACTATTAAAATGTGTCTGTCTGTCCGTCCGTCTGCCTGTCTCACTTTTTTGGGCCACAATAACTCTCCTTCTAATTCAGCTAGAATGTTCAAACGTGAAATGGATTTATATAAGCTCTGGCTTGTTTTCAGATCCCATAATTAAATATTATATCTTTATAATATGTTAATATTGATAAAATAAATATTGTTATAAAAAAAATGTTCAAACTTAGTGTAGGTGTTTATAAGATCAATCAATGCCTTGATGGAGTTCGAAGATGAGCTTTTTCTGCTTCGGGTAAGCAGAGATAAGCCATTTGATTGGTTGCTTTTGGACACGATATCTTTAGTTCTAATTAAGTGAGAGTGATCAAACTTGGTGTATAGTTTCATTACATCAATACCTTGACTAAGTTCGATAATTGAGGTAGAATGTTCAAACTTGGTGTACTCATTCATTAGTTGAATGCTTTGATGGAGTTTGATGATGAACATTATCTGCTTACGGTAAGTAGAGATAAGCAATTTGATTGGTTGATGCTTTTGGGCCCGATAACTTTGGTTATAAGTGAGAGCGATGAAACTCTGAGTATAGATTCATTATATCATTACCTTGACTAAGTTCGACGATGAGAATTTTCTGCTTAGGCTAAGGAGCGATAAGCTATTTGATTGGTCAAGACTTTGGAACATTACGACTCTGCGTTTCATTGAGGTAGAATGCTTAAACTTGATATAGATGTTTATTAGGTGAATGTCATGACTTGAGTTCAATGATTAACATTTCCCACTAAAGCTAAGCAATTTCTTTGACTTTGATTCTATCTGATAGAGAGTGATGAAACTTAGTATTAGTTGATAATCAGTTTGATTGCTCGATACTTTTGTAAATGATAAATGTGCAATTAACTAATGTGTCATCTATTTATTTCGAGATTCGACGGGGGACATCAGCCTCACTATTCGCTTGTTTTAAAATTGTCAGAATGGGAATTGGTGTAGGTGGCATGTAAACTTTTACTGCATGTAAACTTTTAAAAATGTTATTTTACAGGGTATGAGTGTTGTTGGTGATTTATTTGGAGCCGGTAAAATGTTTTTACCACAGGTTATTAAATCTGCCCGTGTCATGAAGAAAGCTGTAGCATATCTTATACCTTTTATGGAAGAAGAAAGAGTGGCCAAGATGGAGGCTGATGGATTAGATTCATCTGTAAATATATTCATCTTTTAAAGTCAGGGCAGTAAGACTAATAGAAAATAGTCTTTTATTTGAGAACATGAAATGAATGTGTCACGCAATTAATGTAACCAGAACATACAATATATTGAAATTAATGTGACCAGTCACACTTGTAATTTTTAACATAATAGTACGAAACCTTCAACTCGATAATGACAATATTTTTATGTATCAACAATCAACAGTGTTCATTAGCCTATCATCTGGTTAATTACCATTGATTAATGTATTGTTTTGAGGGTTGTCATGTTTTCATTCACCACTGATTTCCAACTCTACATAAGAAAATTATAAAAGTATTTGAAATGAATGCGATGTGTGATAGGTCGCATCTAATACATTACGGAAATTTCTTGCTGGCAACAATTAATTGTTTCACAATATATTCAGGAGCATTATAACATTTGCCAATGGAGGTACTTTGTTTTATTGCTTTAAAAAAATTAGATATGTATGATTATTTGATTATTAAACTTCACTTAATTTGTTAAATTAATTTTCTTTTCTAATTTTAGGAGCCCGCCTGGGCTGGAACTATTGTTATAGCTACTGTAAAAGGTGATGTTCATGATATTGGTAAGAACATTGTTGGTGTTGTGTTGGGCTGTAATAATTATAGGTATATATAATTTATATACAGACTTTAAGCAGATAACTTAGTTAGTAATATCTTAAAATTTGAAAGGCTTCTCCATTTTGAAATATTCCAATATGTACTCCCAATACTTGACCAGATAAATATAAAGGTTTAGGTCTCTGTAAGTGAAAGTTTAAATTGAACAATTTAGTTCTATGGTTGTAATACTCACATGAACCAGTTGTCAACCACTGATATACATAGTCATACAACTGTCTGTATAAACTGTGAGACTAGTGAACATATGGCCTGTTTGTGTTTCATGCCTTTTACATTTATGCAGTAGACTTTTAATAATCACTACAGGTCATGAATACCATGATTAGAACCTGAAATAGGGTAAATAAGTGCTCAGTCCTGCATTAAAATTAAACATAAAAAAAAAATAATTTATGTATAATGTGTTATGTTGAAATCATCCAAGTCATGTGTATTTTTTTTTTAGGGTTGTCGATCTGGGTGTCATGACACCATGTGAGAAAATTTTGGAAAAAGCTATTGAACTGAATGCAGGTAGGTCAACCAGTGAAAACAAGTATGGGCTTACTATGGACCAGGAACTGAGCATGATGTCATCTCGGCCATCTTGGAATTGCGAAGTCTTATCAAAAATCGAAGTCCATCAATTGATACACAATTGACAATGTTTCATGTCGAGTATACTTAAATTGGCGAAGCCTTTTTTCGAAGAGCATAACCCCCAAGAACAAGAAGAACAAGATGGGTAGACCTTAGGGCCCAGTTCACGGTCCAAAAATGATATTTCTGTTAGCATTGAAAACTCGAATCAAAAAAGAATGTGAAGAAAAAAAATTCAATATTAAGAGTCTTAATGGTCAGATTTCTATTTTCCAGAAGTATAATTGATTTGTTTTTACAGATTTTATTGGTTTATCTGGTCTGATTACACCATCTTTAGAAGAAATGGTTCATGTTGCTAAAGAGATGGAAAGAATAGGCTTGAAAATTCCTTTATTAATAGGAGGAGCAACAACATCAAGGTGACAAACGCTCATAGATCTAAAGCTCATGAAAATATCATTTTGATCAAGCTTTCCACAAAGGACGTTTAGTATTAAATATTTTGTTTACGAAAAAATATGAGAATTTTTTTAAGTAGATTCTGTATTTATTTTTTCAGAGCTCATACAGCTGTTAAAATAGCACCAAAATACAGTAATCCAACAATTCATGTTCTAGATGCTTCAAAAAGTGTTGTTGTGGTAAGTTGAACATGAAATAAATCATTTTGATGAAATCTGAATCAAGTTTTAGCATGATAAAATATTAATTGAAACATTGCATTCAAATATGTGTTGAACTCTATCTTATAGTTTTCAGCTCTGGTGGCTATTGCTATGATGATTATGTTTATATATTATAGTGTTCAGCTCTGTTGAATGATAGTGGCTATGACGATTATATATTTGATATACAAGAAGAATATGAAGAAATTAGACAAGAACATTATGAATCTTTAAAGGTAAATTGTATTAAAAAATTTAATGAACTACATTTAGCTCAAAAAAACTCTTGAAGAACTTAAAAAAAATTTGAGTTTGTTGTAATTAGAGGGATCATTACCATGTACTCACTGTCTATCACAATCTGAACAACAGAGCCACTGTACATGTAGAGAAGTGATTTTGACACAGTCAGTAGACATAATATTCATACTACGTGATCACACCATAATATCCATACCAGATGATCACACCGTAATATCCATACCACTTGATTAAACCATAATATCCATTCCACTTAATCAAACCATAATATCCACACCAAAGTAAAATGGCAATGACACCCAGAAAACCTATTTTATCCCTAACTTTGATTTTGAATAGCTGACAGTCTTCCAAAACTCATTGAAGCCGCTTCGGTCAACCTTTATTGTCACAAAAGTTAGATGTTCTTAAACATGGAATTTCTTCATTATTTTACTAAAATGCATTTTAAGATATTTATTTAATTGATCTTGAAAATAGCCAAAATGTGGCTGGAATTACGGAGACAAATGGTGGTTCATGGTATTCGTGAGGAAAATACAGCTGTCATTTAGTTTTCTCGCGATATTTTTGTACATGTCTTTCACTGCTGCATTTTTCCTCCAAGCCTAATATAAAGAGCACTTCATTTAAGTCAATGATCTTTTACTGGTAGTCTTAATAAGGCTATTGGTATGATAAACTCTTTCCCTAACATAAGATGCTTCTTTACCTTGTGCTTCGAGTATGGAACCTCTTAATATATACTCAGCCAAATTAAAAACTTGACACTCAGGATTTTTAGGACTAGATTTTTAATATTTGGTTTAAGACAACTATTTTAGTGTTATGTTGTGCACAGACGACCTTCACATCAGCAGAAAGCAAGAATACATCGATAACGTTCGTGATGTCACAGTACCCCCCAAAATGAAATTCACAGACTTGGAGAACAATCGGAATAAAGTGTTTAGTAACGGTTGTGGCCTCCTCTAGCGTCTCGTACTGCCACACAACGTCTTCTCATGGATCTCAGAACATTAGTAAACACTACCCGAGGAAGACGTTGCCACTGCTCAGCAAGAGCATGTTGAAGGTCCTGCAACGTCAGTGGTGGATTCACTTGCTGACGAACACGTCGACCCAGTTCGTCCCAGATGTGTTCAATAGGAATAAGGCCGGGGCTAAGCGACGGCCAATCCAGGACTTGGACACCAGCATTTCTTAAAAAATTCTGGGTAGCAATTGCTGTATGGGGTCGAGCATTGTCTTGTTGAAACGTTAGTCCAGGCCCATGTCTCTGCATAAACGGAAGAAGAAGAGGTTGCAAAATCTGATCCCTGTACTGGACAGCATTTAAGTTCCCATGGACAACAACAAGGGGAGAACGTCCATGTGCACAAAAAGAACCCCAAACCATGACGCTACCGCCACCAAATCGGTCAACTTCTCTGACGCATACTTCACCTCGTCTGCGGTACACTCGGACCCTGCCATCGGCAAATCTCAAAGTGAATCGAGATTCGTCACTAAAGACAACCGAATTCCACTGTCTTTGAGTAAATCTTATGTGTCTTGTGGCCCACACAAGTCGGTTACGGCGATGAAGAGGTGTCAATATTGGTCCATTATAGGGCCTCCGAGATCGAAGACCAGCAGCCTGCAAGCGATTTCGAACAGTTTGTGCAGTTACCCTTCCACCAAACATCTCTCTACTTGTGGAGGTTGCGGTGACAAATCTGTTTCTAAGATGACGTAATCGTATTGCTTGATCTTCCTGGAGTGACGTCACACCTGGCGCTGCCGCCCTTGGGCGGTCGGAAATAGTTCCAGTTTGAAGCACTCTCATTCTAAGATTAATTATTGTCTGGCGTGAACAATTAAAGGCTCTTGCAACAGTGACCACAGACTGACCAGCATAGAGCCTACCTGTAGCTACCATATCCCTTTAGTATATGTTTAATAGTGTTATTTTGTAAAATGTATAAGGGTAGAGTTTGATGTCTACTTTCGGTTTCACTGGTTTTCGGAAAATCTTACTGGCGGTCTTAATCCGAGCCTCGGTTTGAGAGTTCGCGGTAAAAATATAATGATGGCGTGTTGTCATTTCCAAGTGTGGACGGTTTATTCGGTATTTGTTTGAGGATGTGACCCCAAACAACTTGAAAACCAGTGAATTCCGTGAATTTGTTAATGTGCGGTTAGATGCGGATATCTAAACCCATTCAGTAAACTGTTTTTCTAATACATATATGATTTAGTATGTACATCGGTTGACTGTTGTGAATTTCACTGTGTTTCAAATATGGGATAGAGTTCAGCGGTTATTATTCTAATAAACTTTGAACTTTTACTTTGTTTTGAGTTTAAATACACTGTGCAGTGGGCACATGAAGTTTTCAAGTTGTAAGCGGACCTACATTAAGACTGGTGTGTTTTACCATTCAACAGTTGGTGTGTTTTTATATGACGTAATTCATGTTTTGGTGCTTTATTATTTTGTTGACATTAAGGCCTACTTGTGAACTTAGTATGGATCTCGACATTGACAAGTTCCCGAATGTCTCTAGGAGGAATGAACTTTATAGGGAACGAGATATATATCTCACACAAGTCCGAAAGCTCAAAGAAGAGATTCGGTATCTTATAACTACTAAGGACTCATTTTGTAATATTGAGTATAGGATCTCAAAACACGAAAGTGCGTGGAAGAATTTTGTTCGATGTCACGAGAATATTTATAAAGATTTGGTGGACACGGAAGATGAAGACGCATCTCGTCAATTATACGAGAGTGAATTGTTACAGAAAACACAATTTGACAAATTGACAATTTCGTGGCAAAACGATAAAATGAAGAAAAAGTCTGATGAGAATTCATTATTCGGTAGTGTTGATAGTCACAATTCAAGCTCAGTTCGTTTGAAGAAGAAAGAACAGTTAGCCTTGGCTAAGCTTAAGGTAACACAGTTACAGAAAAAACATGAATTAGAACAGAAAATGTCAGAATTAAAGCACCAATCAGAGTTAATGGAAGCAAAAATGGAGGAAGAACAGGCAGAAGTTAGCCTCAAAGTTTACACGGATGAAGAATCTGATGAAGAAAAAAGAAAAGATGTGTCTACTGTTCCTTATGTTAATGACTTTGATAATTTTGAATCTCCCTTAAAAATGAACTTGCAAACTAGTATTGCTAATGCTAATTCTGCCATGTATGCTAATAATGTATATGTCCCACCCCCTCCTGTTGAACAATTTAATCCTGTTAGTGTTGTCTCATCGAGTTTGTCAGCCTCTATATCAGATAGTTTACCTATAACTGTCTCCAGTAATTTACCTGTGTTTATGTCAAGTAGTGCCTATTGTAGCTCTAATAATTTACCTTTGTTTACATCTGTTAATATTCCTTCATCTATGCATGATAGGCCTTATACTGTTTACTCTATGCCATATGATAGATTTAATCATTGTTTACCTGTTCATACAGCAGAAAGTACTGGTGTAAACACTGCTACTTATTTTAATCCACATGTGAATAATGTTGTTCGACCTTATTTCACTGTACCACCGCCTGTTAGTAATATTTCATCAGGGCATTTTCAATCTGCTGTGTCAAACAATATGTCTGTAAATCATATTGATAATAATCATAATAATAATCCGTTTGTACTTTCTCAACGAAATCCTATCACAATGCATGAACATATTAACCCTTTACCTAACTTACCAAATACAGGTACAGGTTTATTAAATTATAGTTTAAGTTCTGATTTGATTCAATTTGATGATGATAATAATGTAAACGTTGATAATGTAAATGTAAATCAACAAGTTAAGCAGTCCCCAAACGGTTATGTAAATTCTTCACATAACAGTGACATGATGACAAAATTGTGTGAAGCTATGTTAACACCAAAGTTGGAATATCTACACTTTGATGGGAATCCGCTGAAATACGCATCATTCATTCATAATTTCGAAACATGTTTAGAAAGCCAAAACTCAGACAGTTCTAGGAGACTGCAGTTATTGATACAACATTGTACTTTTAAGGCACGCGACGCGATAGAAAGTTGCGTAAATTTACCACCCGAGGAGGGGTATGTCACAGCTAGAAAAACATTACTAGAAAATTTCGGTCGATCACACATTGTAGCAGACGCTCATTTGAAAAAACTTGAGAATTTATCCCCAATTAAAGTCGCAGACAGTGCGTCGTTGTTGGAGTTCGGACGTAATTTGGAAGACACGTACAGAGTATTATCGGGAATGGGACCAGAATATGTGACAGATTTAAACCATATTAATACAATCAGATCATTAAATAAAAAGTTGCCTTTACATATGAAAGCCAAATGGGTAGAAGTAGCGGGTAAAATCTTGGATAATGGTTCTCGCCCAAAATTTAATGATTTTATGCAATTTATAAAGAACCGTGCGAAGTTAGTTAACAACGAATACGGAGAAGATTTACTTTCTAATAATCACAGTCATTATAATGATAAACTTAAAGATAATAATAATAGTAAGCAACGAAAATTTTATAGTAGGCCTGTAACTACACTTGTAACGGAGGAAAGGAAGCCTTTGTTTAAACCAAAGGACACTGTTAGTAAGCAGGGTGCTACTAATGTGAAATGTTTACATTGTTCTATGTCACATAATATCTGGAATTGTGAAAAGTTTCTCAATATGTCTAATCAAGATCGTGTTAAATTTGTCTTTGAGAACAGACTTTGTATCAGCTGTTTACGAACTGGTCATGTTGCTAAAGTTTGTGATAAAACATTTGTTTGTCAAATTAAAGGCTGTATGAGGAACCATAATACACTATTACACGGTGCCGATTTTTCTGCCTTTAGGAAGGACATTACAACCGAAAACACTAACCTAAAGGAAGTTGCAAGTAATAGATCGGTTACAGCCGCTACTGGGGCTGGCGTCCCTCGCATTTCTTTAGGTGTTATACCCGTAAGACTAAAAATAGGTCAAGGAAAATCCTTTACGACTTACCTCGTACAGGATACTGCCAGTGAATTAAGTTTATGTGCTGAAAACAACGTGGAGATCCACGAGAATGATGATACCCAAAAACTTACCTTGACTGGTGTGACCGGTTCAACGGAAATTACCAGCCGAAATGTTGATATTGTTGTTTCATCGTTAGACGGAACTGTGTCGTATAAACTAGAAAATGTTAAAACTGTTAAAAACTTACCTATTACTAAAAATTGTATCCCGATGACGGATGATATCAAGAGTTATCCCCATTTAGATGATATTTCGTTGGGACACGTCGATATTCCTGAAGTAAGTTTATTAGTTGGATTAAAGGAGAATCCCAGTTTGTTTATCCCCCTTGAATCTCGCTCTTCAGGAAATGAACATGATCCGATTGCCGTTCGGTATAATTTGGGATGGATGATTCTTGGACCTTTAAATGACTCGAAAAGTTGTGATGATTTTACAGTAAACTATTTAAAAGTCGAACCGGTAACAGATTCGGATGAACTTTTAAAACATCAACTTGATCGTTTGTGGACCACAGATTTTGCTGATCTTGAAGTTGATAATAAAGTAGGAATGTCGGTTAGTGATAAGCGAGCTCTGGAAATTATAGAAAACAGTTTAACTAAAGTTGATAACCACTACCAAGTAGCCCTTCCGTGGAAAAGCGTGACTCCCTATCTTCCAAATAACAGGACCGTGGCTGAAAACAGACTAAACGGGTTAAGGAGGCGATTTCTACGAAACCCAACGTTATTTGATCGGTATAAGGATACCATTCAAGGTTACATCGACAGTGGTCATGCTGAATTAGTGCCAGCAGAGGATGTGAACACGACATCGCCAGTTTGGTATTTACCGACTCACCCGGTAACACACCCTTTAAAACCTGATAAGGTCAGGGTTGTGTTTGATTGTGCTAGTATATTTCGCAATACATCTTTAAATGATCAATTGCTTCAAGGACCGGATTTAGCGAATCAGTTAACTGGTGTTCTCTTACGATTTCGGCAGGATAAGATTGGTATTGTTTCGGACATCGAGGCCATGTTTCACCAAGTCCGTGTGGACCCGAAGGACTGTGATGCTTTACGATTTTTGTGGTTTAAAGACAGTGATTTGTCTAGTTCTGTTGAAGAATATAGGATGATTAAACATATTTTTGGTGCAACATCTTCTCCCTGTATAGCGAACTTTTGTCTGAAAATGTGTGCCAAAACTCATGAAAGTGAATTTAATCCGGAAACAATCTCGACTGTTCTAAATAACATGTACGTGGATGACTTAATGAAATCGGTAGACACTATAGCAAATGCAACCAAGCTGTATCACGAAGTGACCGAACTTTTGTCTTTAGGTGGATTCCACATAACTAAATGGTGTAGCAATGATAGACAGTTCTTAGCCACCATTCCGGAAGCGGAGAGAGCAAAATCCGTTGTTAACCTTGACATTGAAAAGTTGCCAACCCAAAGTACTTTAGGTATCAAGTGGAATACCGAATCGGATTGTTTTGTTTGGGAAAATGCTGATAAACTTTCTAATAGCGCATTAAACAAGCCTATGACTCGTAGGGGTATTCTTTCTGTTGCATATTCACTGTTTGACCCCCTCGGATTTGTTGCGCCCTTTCTTATGAAAGCCAAACTATTGCTGCAAATGTTAAGCAGGAAACAATTAGGATGGGATGATTCAATTCCAGACATTGATAAAAATCAGTGGATTAGATGGTTAAATGATTTGAATCGTTTATCGGAGATTAAAGTTCCTCGGTGTTATAAATTACAAGACTCAAGTGATATTGTAGATATTCAGTTACATGTTTTTTCGGATGCCTCGAGAGTAGGGTATTCGTCAGTAGCCTATTTACGATGTGTAGATAGAGATATGAACATCCATTGTGCTTTTGTAATGGGCAAGGCTCGGTTAGCTCCATTGAAGGAGATATCAATTCCTCGGTTGGAATTATCGGCTGCTGTTGTGTCCGTGAAATTGTGTCACTTGATAAAGAGTGAAATTGACTTTGAAATTAACAAAGTTGTGTATTGGACTGACTCAATGTCGGTTCTTAAGTGTATTAACAATAAAACTAAACGTTTTCACACTTTTGAATCAAACCGGTTAACCGTTATTCATTTAGGTTCAAACCCCTCTCAATTTAGGTACATTGACAGGAACATTAACCCCGCTGACGACGGGTCTAAAGGGTTAAAGATGAAATCGTTTATTCAAAACGATAGGTGGTTAACGGGACCTGACTTTTTGTATCGTGATGAGTTGTTTTGGCCGGATAAAGTGAACATTCCTGAAATGATGGATACTGATCCAGAAATACGTAAAGAAGCTCAAGTGTATGCTACGGTTAATGTCCCGGACAGAACTTTGTTTGATAAACTGTTTGAATATTTTTCATCTTGGTGGAAATTAAAAAGAGCTGTTGCTTATCTGATACGTCTAAAGACTATTTTAAGAGACAAAGTGTCGGAACGATTAAACGGGAGTAAACCAAGACAGTTATTAAAATATTTGTCTGTACAAGAAATAAGTTATGCCGAATCGCAAATAATTAAATTTGTCCAGAAAGGAGATTTTCCAAAGACGTATAAAGCTTTAAGTTTAGAATCTGAGTCTAATGAATCGTCATTAAAGGAAGTTGGATCTTCGTTGGTTAAATTGAATCCTCAACTGGAAAATGAACTGTTATGCGTTGGAGGTCGATTGGAGAATGCTTCAATTGATGGATTGGCGAAACATCCAGTAATTTTGCCATACAAACACTCGGTTACGGACTTAATAATTAGAGAGTGTCATGTTAGTGTCGGTCATATGGGACAAGAAACGGTTCTTGCCACTTTAAGACAGAAGTTTTGGATAATAAAAGGCCGATCAGCGGTAAGACGGATACTTTCAAAATGTGTAACCTGTCAGAGGAGATCTAAGCCAACCGAAACTCAGTTTATGGGCAATTTACCGAAACAAAGACTTGTTGCTGATAAACCACCGTTTTCGTGCGTTGGAATTGATTATTTCGGACCTTTGTTAGTGAAACAGGGACGAAGTGTTGTGAAAAGGTACGGCTGCCTTTTTACTTGTATGACTTCAAGGTCTGTGCATATAGAAATTGCACATTCACTAAACACGGATTCTATGATAAATGCCTTACGGAGATTTGTTAGTGTTCGTGGTCAACCAGAGGAGATATGGAGCGATAATGGTTCGAATTTCACAAGCGCGGATAAGGAACTTAAAGAGGCACTTAAGGATTTTAATCAGTCTAAACTATCTAGATTTTGTGTTCAGCGGAATATAACTTGGAATTTTAATCCACCTGCGGCCAGCCACATGGGTGGTGTGTGGGAGCGAATGATTCGTTCAGTACGCCAAATATTAAAATCTGTATTAAAGGAACAGTTAGTTTCGGATGAAGTTTTATTAACTGTTGTAGCTGAAGTGGTGTTTATCTTGAATAGTAGGCCGTTAACGAGAAACAGTGATAGTGTTTTAGACGACGGGCCTTTAACACCAAATCATTTGTTGCATCTTAGATGTAGTAATAGTTTACCCCCTGGTATATTCGAAAAGAAGGACTTATATTTAAAACGTAAATGGAAACAGGCCCAATATTTGAGTGATGTTTTTTGGCGCCGATGGGTAAAGGAATATTTGCCTACATTATTGGAACGATCTAAGTGGAATCACGCCAAACGTAACATTTGCATTGGGGATCTAGTGCTTTTAGCGGATGATAATTACCCACGCGGTCAGTGGCCCTTGGCTCGAATTGTGGAAGTATTTGTGTCTAAGGATGGGTTTGTGCGCACCGTTAAGCTTAAAACAAAAGCAACCGTTGCGACTTGTGCAAAGCATCACAAGGATGCTAATATTAAAGATGGTTATGTGGTTCTTACTCGACCAATTCATAAAGTATGTTTACTTGAATTGGACGAACCTGTTATCTTAGATAATTAGTTATTGATGTACATGTATGTTAAAGTAACTGTTTGGAAATCTGTAATTTGTATTTATTATTGAGTTAGCCATAAGAATTAAAATGGTAGCTAATTGGTTTTTTTTGTACATAAAAATGTTTACTGTCATTTTTATGTAGGGGCTGGTGTAGCTACCATATCCCTTTAGTATATGTTTAATAGTGTTATTTTGTAAAATGTATAAGGGTAGAGTTTGATGTCTACTTTCGGTTTCACTGGTTTTCGGAAAATCTTACTGGCGGTCTTAATCCGAGCCTCGGTTTGAGAGTTCGCGGTAAAAATATAATGATGGCGTGTTGTCATTTCCAAGTGTGGACGGTTTATTCGGTATTTGTTTGAGGATGTGACCCCAAACAACTTGAAAACCAGTGAATTCCGTGAATTTGTTAATGTGCGGTTAGATGCGGATATCTAAACCCATTCAGTAAACTGTTTTTCTAATACATATATGATTTAGTATGTACATCGGTTGACTGTTGTGAATTTCACTGTGTTTCAAATATGGGATAGAGTTCAGCGGTTATTATTCTAATAAACTTTGAACTTTTACTTTGTTTTGAGTTTAAATACACTGTGCAGTGGGCACACTACCTATAGCACGTAGACGTTCTACATTTGAAAGGCGCGGCATTTTCTAACAAAGATGAAAATAACAATTTTAATTTGTTTTTCCAGTTCAAGTTACGTGTGCGTGTTCAGTTTAAGCAAACTTGCATCGATTGACCTCACGAGTTTGTGTTTGCACGTGTTTTTCAGGTTTTTCATCTTTATATGCTCAAAAGTCACGTGATCCACGTGACTTTACAATTTTATGAAATTAAAGGCTTCTTACTACTTACTATCGTTAGAAACACTTTAAAATTTATTTGACTTACCAGAAAAAAAAATTTGTTGAAATTCATCAGTGTCAAGTTTTTAATTTGGCTGAGTATATAATGTTCTTTAATTTATTGTGATTGTGTTACAGGACAGAAAATATGTGAAACTAGATAAGGCAAGAGAAAAAGCATTTAAAATTGATTGGAAATCTGAAGCTAAACCAGGTTAGCTTCTTTCTTTTTTAATGATTAATTATCTCAGATGTTTTTATCACAAAGGGGATTTTGTCAACCCATATTTTCTTTATTACAATAAAACACTTCAAAAATACTATTTACGGTAACACGACGACGGACAGTAGCCAAGCTTAACTGATAAACAAATGTATAAGTAAATTTGCAATGAATCAATAAATGACAAATAAGTATTGCATATAAAATAACAACAGTAATATAACAACAATAGATAATGGTACAAAATTAAAACACTGTAATATGTAATGAGACATATTGATTTTAATTTAATAAACATTCGGCTTCCCAAAGATGGGGTACAGTATAACCTGCCACAGATTGGGAGCAGGTAATGCTATCAAATCATTTAAATTTTTGTAAATTATATTACGTCCTCTTGTAAAAACTCATTCTGTTATTTTTACCATTTCAGTGGAACCATCTTTTCTTGGAATAAAAATGTTTGAAAATTATGATATTTCATCTTTAGTGCCATACATTGATTGGAAACCATTTTTTGATGTATGGCAATTGAAAGGAAAATACCCTAATCGCGGATATCCGAAAATATTTAATGATAAAGATGTTGGTATGTACTCAATTTCTATAATCTTGGAACGCTGACACTTTTTCAGCTTGACAAATAACTTTTCACTTAATCTCTGAAGACACCCAAATTTCATTGTTCTATTTGTTGACACTTAAATCACTGATTAGTAAACTGTTTTATTAACACTAATAATACAGAGAGGCCGATCCCATGTACTCTTCCCAAACCCTCTAGGCGGAAGTGCCTCTTCCCACCCTGAACACTGCGCATGTACAAATACATAGCTATATAAGGTAAGTAACAGTAAATATTATAATTACAATAAAGGCTAACAGTATTGATATATAACACAGCATCAATTTGAAACATCAAAAGATATTAGAAGATTATGCATGGTCATAGTTTTATGTGTAGTTAATCCTATTATTTTTAAACAGGAGAAGAAGCCAAGAAAGTATTTGATGAAGCCCAGGACATGTTAAAGAATATTATCAATAATTCAAGTCTTACTACCAGTGGTGTTATTGCGTTTTATAGAGCAAATAGTGTAGGTGATGACATACAGGTCTATGATGATAATTATAAACACATAGCTACATTTCATGGATTACGACAACAGGTAGGATGCTATTAATTTAAAATGTGGTAAATTTTAACCAAATGATTATTTAAATATTACTAATTAGCCAATGAAGGGCTTATCCTTTACTATTAGAGTCATTGTAAGAATCAAATATGTAGAATCGATACATATCAATGACTCATTCGTAGATGCAGCCTGTAATAAATATCAAAAATTGTATTAAAGAGTTTAAAGGAGCTAACAGGTTGTTTTGGTTGATTTGATGTGTTATTTCAATTATGTTGTGGGACAACCCTACATGATTTGAATTTCCTTTTGAAGTACATTTAGCTGAACACAATATCAGTTGTATCCCAACATTGGCTCTATCTAAATTTAATTATATCAACAATTTTATTTTGTACCTAAATCTGTGAGGTTTGATCATTTTAAATTTAATTTGAGAATTTTTCAGCATTTACTAGATTTATGATATTGTATCTAACAATTCATTAAATTATTATATATACAGGCAGAAAAAGATGGTGGTACATATGAATGTTTATCAGATTTTATAGCACCTAAAGACAGTAATATAGAAGATTATATTGGACTATTTGCTGTTACAGCTGGTATAGGTGTTCAACAAATGTGTAAAGAGTAAGTAAAATGGAGTAGTACTTCTAATAACATTGTTTCTTGTCATATTTTGTAAAAAGAATTTAAAAAGCAAAACATAACCTGTCCTGCATAGTCAAACAGTGTGCATTTTCTTCTTCAATATCTCTGCATCTTCTATATAAATTGTCTTTTTGAAAATTGTATATTTTTGTACCCCTCCTTTCAAAGAAAGCAAGGGACTAATAAAAGATAGATGTGCAATCAATTAATATGTGACATCTATTTATTTTCAGATTGGGGACATCAACCTCATTGTTGACTTGTTTTATTACAGATTTGAAATGTAATATTCATATGCTTTTTTTTTCAAATAAAGCTTTATATTACAGATTTGAAAGTAAATATGATGATTACAGTATTATAATGGTAAAAGCTTTAGCAGACAGATTAGCAGAGGTAAGTCTATCTCACTGATATATCAACTAAGTCTTTAACCTTGTAAAACATCAAAGTTTAGCAGTTTTCATTCTGTCTATTGTTGAAGATTTAATATTTTTTTTGGTAATAATCATTGAACATGCTTCACTCACTTTCAGGCATTTGCTGAGCTGATGCACGAAAAAGTGCGACAAGAATACTGGGGTTATGCATCATCAGAAAAATTAGGTGCTCAAGACTTACATCGCATTAAATATCAGGTATAGCAAGTACATTGTATTATAAGTACTCAATGATTGATATTTAAGACACTGTGGAATATTTTTTAAATTTCAGGTTCAGATATGCTACAAATTTTTATTAATGATCAAAGTTTTGAATTTTACTTCATGACATTATCCATTCAATGTAAAAACTTCCTGTGTGTTAAAAATTTCCAAATCTGGCAGCTCATTGAAAGTGTCATTGACAGGATAAAACCTTGCATAACATTTTTTGAGACATGGAGGCACAATGTCTTTATCATCATTCATTTACTGGGATCGTTGATCAACTTGGAAATGATGTGCATGATCTATCACTTTTAGGCCCCCCAAAATGTAGGGGGTGTTTATTACAGTTCAACAAAAAATAGACACTATTACTGTAGCCAACAGTTTTTGACCACCTTTGAAATTTTTTATCTTTCCATCATTCAGCTTCTGTGCTAGCCAATTTTGACATACACATGTACAATTTGTATTTTCAGGGTATACGTCCAGCACCAGGATATCCTAGTCAACCAGATCATACGGAAAAACAAACTATGTGGAAGATATTAGATGCGGATAAAGTTGGTATTAAACTAACTCAATCTCTAGCTATGGATCCAGCAGCTTCAGTTAGTGGTTTATATTTTGCTTCACCACACTCTTCATATTTTTCTGTTGGTAAAGTAGACAAAGATCAGGTAAGTTACATTAATCTTCTACTGTAACATGCCAGGTCGGATTAAAACCCATATGACCCTAAGTAGTTTAAAGGGTTTTGGTGCATCCCTATATAATATATAAACAAAAATAAACCATAAACAAATGTGGTTAGAAGTTAGAGTTATTTTTGAGCTTTTATACACATCATTAAGTTTAAGTTTATAACATTTAATATAGCACTTATTACTGCAATATATGCATTCAGTGGCCCTGTACAATTAATACAATATTAGGATTTATTATGTTCATGAATATACTATACCAGTGAGTAATTATTAGTAAAGGTCCTTTGAAAGAGATACGTTTTTAGTGATTTCTGAAAACTATTATTAACTGAGACAAAGCCGGTAACAGTAAGAAAAGACACAAAAATAAAAAAAAATGGTTAAAATTTCTTAATTAATTTTTGAATTAAATATTTTAAATTTGTCATCTAACAAAGCAGAAATTCTGTGGTGCCCCCCCCCTCCCTCCCATGATGCCCTTTAGAAGCCAGTGCTTATTTTGTCCTGGATGGGCAAAGGAGTTTGAATCCTGCAAATTGTGTGCTGTGCTGTTTCGATTTCAGATAAATTTAGTACTGACTAGATCTGGGTGAGGGGGTTGGATGGCTGAATGGTTAGCATGTGCGCGCTGTATCATAAGGCCTGTCATTGAGTCAACTGGCGTGGTTTCGAATCCCCGGTGTACGTGACAAGGAGTAGGGTCGCCTGTCCAACCTTGTGGGTTTTCTCTGGGTCCTTCAGATTCCTCCCACTGCTAAAAAATTAAACCATATGTAAGTCCCGAGTTGACCTAGTTTGTGTGGAGTGGACGTTAATCTCCATTTCTCTCTCTCTCTCTCAGATCTGGGTGAACTCTCTTTGGAAGATGTGTATGGAATATGATGAAACTTAAAATATATCTTTATATCCCAAAGATCTCACTCCCTTTCGATAATTGCGCATTTCAGACCATAACTTTCTGGATTATGGCCCCTGATTGTACTAAAAATTGATTTTGTTTTCAGCTTGTTCTCTATCCATCTCTTGCAAATCTAGCCTGGCAACCGGTGTTTTTTTAAAACAATATTTTAATTCAGAATATCTGAATGAGATTGGAGAACAGGCTTAAGCTATGTAAAACCCCTCTCTCTATATAATATATATACATAATATTAATACAATTTGGTTAGTTATTGCCAAATAGATATACAAGATGAGCGTGCTTAGTGAATACCATAGCTAAAATAACTTTTAACACATAATTGCTTTAATTATGCTGTCAGGACCTGTAAATACATTTCTTGTTCTTTATGATTTTATTTCAAATATGTTTGTGTGGTATTTATTAAAGTAGTTTCATTTTTATTAGATTGAAGATTACTCTAAAAGAAAAGGAATGGATGTGAATGAAGTAGAAAAATGGCTGGCTCCATATCTAGCTTATGATGTGTAAATAATGATCTGTTCTTTTACCTTAAGATTCTACATTCAGTTTTTCTTTAACTGAATAAGACTCCATGTTTATACATCATCAATATAATGTGGAAAAAAAAATCTCAGGAATACATAACTTTTGCTTTAGTGCTATTAAATCTATGTCATACCATTAAATATGGTAAAGTATTTCTTCTTTACTGTTTAAATTCGGGACATGCATTTATAATGTGAATAAATAACCAGTCAGTTTGTAACATTACAATGTGAAATAAGCCAGCATCCAATATATTATAATTATGTGATCTCAAAGAAGTATTATCACTTTTACTAAAAACATATTATATAATTAATTTGGAACAAAATCATATTTAAATCGGCATTATGTGAGAGCAATAATTGCTTATTGCTGGTCATTTTTCTGACTTTAAATGTTATATAAATTATTATTTAGACATTTATTCACCTGACAAGCCCATAATCAACTCTCTAGATCATTGGATGGTTTAGATATTGAGTGGATTAGACAGACAATGCCTGCCAAATCTTAGTTATACATTAATATCGCTGGAAACTGTCAATAAAAGGACTAACAAACAATGCTTTGTTTATTATGGTTCTTGACAATCGAGAATATGAACTGTGGGTGAAGTTTCCAAATGCCAATGATTGGCAATTGATGGCTATTTCTTGTCAAGACTTGCCACTTTCACCAAGAAAATATTATTTAATCTTATGTATCTTATATAGACTTACCTAAATATTGAAAATCTTTGCGCTGACCTAGCATAAGGGTATTTTGTACAAGCATAATTTAAACACCTTGAAAATTTATAAATGATTGTATAGCTTATATCTTTATCTCAGTGATAGACAAGAGGATTTGTTTCCAATATTGAACACCACTGATGTTACAGTCAAAGATTACTGGCAAAGAACTCCAAAACACTAATGCCTCTTTAATGCCATACATGTATCTATTGTTATCATTGTACTTAAAATATGTTTAACTAGCAGGATACCCGGCTTAGCTCGGGGGTCATAACTCCGAAACCGGAAGTGGTAGACTAACGCCACCTGGCCTATGTTACTCCCCGGTCCGAGCTACCCCTATACCCCAAATTTCAGACTCGGGGCAGATCTAGTGTAGCCGCCAACCCCGAACAGACCGGCTTCGCTCGGGGGTCATAACTCCGAAACAGGAAGTGGAAGACTATCGCCACCTGGCCTATGTTACTCCCCGGTCCGAGCTACCCCTATACCCCAAATTTCAGACTCAGGGCAGACCTAGTGTAGCCGCCAACCCCGAACAAACCGGCTTCGCTCGGGGGTCATAACTCCGAAACCGGAAGTAGTAGACTAACGCCACCTGGCCTATGTTACTCCCCGGTCAGAGCTACCCCTATACCCCAAATTTCAGACTCGAGGCAGATGTAGCCGCCAACCCCGAACAGACAGACTTCGCTCGGGGGTCATAACTTCGAAACCGGCAGTGGTAGACTAACGCCACCTAGCCTATGTTACTCCCCGGTCTGAGCTACCCTTATACCCCAAATTTCAGACTCGGGGCAGACCTAGTGTAGCCGCCAACCCCGAACAGACAGACAGACAGACGGACAGACAGACAGACAAACGACAGTCACAAATATATATATAGATAGATTAAAGATACATTATGGGAGATTAGATAAAGAGCTGAACCGAGTATTTAGTGATTGAATTTTGGGCTTAGCCTCGATCATCATTACTAAAGTCAGTACGATAAAAAACATAGTCTCGATTATCCATTTTTAAACGCCCACATTTTCATGTGGTCGTATATGCCATTGCCCCTGTTTGTCCATTCGTCCACAATTTGTTTGTGGTCACAATTTTTATCCGATTTCAATGAAACTTGAAATATAGATTTATCGCCCTAAGATCTCGGTTCCTTACGATATTGGCATGTATCGGACTGTAACTTCATGGGTTATGGCCCCTGATTGTACGAAAAATCACGTATATAGCTTGTGGACCCTATAGGGGTCACAATTTTTATCTAATTTTGTTGAAACTTGAAATATAAGTTTATAACCCAAAGATCTCAGTTCCTTTTAATATTTGCGCATATCGGACCGTAACTTCCTGAATTATGGCCCCCGATTGTACAAAAAATCACGTTTTTAGCTTGTGGACCCTATAGAGGTCATAATTTTTTATCCGATTTAAAAAAAGATTTGAATATATCTCCGTTACACCCAAAGGGTGGTTGAGTTTGAATTTCGTAAAAATTGGACCAAAACTGACAGACAAAATGGCCACGCCTCGTCCTCAAATAGCGTAAAAATATGGTATATCAAGGTTGTGGACCCTCTAGAGGTCACAGTTTTTTTCTGAAATGTAAGTTTATAACTGTCGATGTTCCTGAATATCGGATCGTAACTAACTGAAATATGGCCCCTGATTGTATGAAAAATCACGTTTTTAGCTTGAGGTCCCTCGAGAAGTCACAGTTTTTATCTGATTTAAAAAAAAACATGTGAATATATCACCATTACACACTAAGATCTTGGTTCCTTTTGATATTTGTGCATTTCAGACCATAACTTTCTGGATTATTGCCCCTGATTGTTCAAAAAATCCTGTTTGTTTTTAGCTTTTTCTCTATCCATCTCTTGAAAAATGTGGGTGTATCCTGCCTGGCAGCCACTAGTTTGATTTAATCAGAAGCAGCAAACCGAGTTCTGAGTTCTAATCCAGTAAATATCGCAGGCTAGCGATGCCATCGAGAGTTGATTATGGTCTGGATAAGTTAATTAATGTCTAATTAATAATTTAGATAACATTTCAGGCCTAAAGAAAGACCTGCAATTGGCAGATTTAGCTCTTGCATAATGTATGTTTAAATGTTTACTTGTATTACGGTTATGACAAAATATAATTTATAAACCAGTTTTTGTTGAAGTTACTTTTTTATTTTATGAATTTTTTTTTAATTAGATTTATAAAAACAAATCATTATTGTAAATTGTGTTGTTAACATATAAATGCAATGTAAAAAGTGCTTATTGTACTCATATTACAGAAATTAAATATCCCATTCTACCATTTTGTAGAAGCTGCACTAAAGGGGTCACTCATCTTAACCCTTTGTGGTTTTTTAGATACAAAATATCACACTAATATCTGGACATTAAAATTATTTTTATTACACAATATAAAGAGTCACTTGGTTCAACTTTTGAATTTTTGTTTTTTTGTTTTTTTTAACTTTTGACTCGCATACAATAGCTCAAATTATGCAGTGTAGTTTTGATAATTCAAATGATAAAGAGTTAAGTATTTTGAAGTCTAAACACATTCATTGTACCACCTTAAAGGTCCTTGCTGAATCTAGGGACCTTAAGATTATTTCACTATTCACATTGTCAACTTAACACTAATTTTACCAGACAGGTTATAAAATCAGTATTGACTGGTTAAATTATCTCAAGTGTATTATACATGTATAAGGGTTAGAGTTCAGGTAAGCTTATAGAATTCTGTGCTATAACATATTTTTTACTATTTGTTATATTTTTGTCTATTGTTGATAGCTTGATGTAAATATTGTGTTTAGAAACAAGGTTTTATTTTTAAATACATTCTTAATACATATTTCAAAAAGTATTTCAATAATGACATTGATTGTTATTTTCAGTTACTAAATAATTATCATTATGTATATATAGATCTACATTAAATAAAATTATATATTTATATTTTATACTTGTGTTGTCGATAAAATGATTTTATTATTAAATGCACATGTGCCATAGAATGTTCTATACAAATTTGTATCAAGAAGATTTTTATACTTGTATTGTGCTCTGTGAATCTTACAATTTCCATGTGGACATGACCAAATATCATAAAATTCCATGATTTGTAGCCCAATTGCCTGGATAACTATGTCTATATATATTTGAAGAATTTATAGTAAGCGATCATTACAATTATCAAGTCACTCATACAACTGATGAAGGAATTTCCTTCAATGCATTACATGACACAGCTAAGCAAATTTAGCAATAGCTGTATTTTTTTTTCTGTTATTAATTGTGTTTTAATAGTGAAAAAAAAGTTCTCACAGTGCTTGAGAATAAAATCAATGTACTATTTATTTATACTCTTTAGTCCAACTCAGAGCTGGATTAAGATTGCAAGGGACCTCTGTTAGCAATTCCAATAGGAGCCTTTCCATCAAAATTGTTACTGTAAGTAACAAGTAATTCAAATGTTAATGAATTAAATATTAATTGGGAACGACTGATAAATGAAATCAGGGTTTTAACAACCTACTTTTCTGCACCAACCAGGCTAATGAAGATAGGCAATTATGCTATGCAGTGAGTTCTTTATTGAATTCCAATTGTCAAGGGTTCTTTACATGCAGACATGTGTACACAGGACCTAAGTTTTTCATCCCATCCAAATAACTAGATTCTGTTCCTTGCCAAGCCCTCCATCTTGCAACACAGACAATTGCAAGGGTACTTTCTCAGCTAAAAACGTGATTGAACTTAAAACCTCTTGGTTATAGTGAGCCAAGGTGTTATTCACTGAGCTACCAAAATGATGGCTGTAGTTTATAATAATATAGCATAATGAAAACACATGACAAGTGACTTACATCATTCAACTTCAAAATCTACAGTCAAAGAAGAAATTATTTGCCATTAATGCATTAATTGTCCCCCGCCTTTCGAAGAAAGCAGGGGACTATTAAAATGGGTTCGTCCGTCTGTCTGTCCGTCCGTCCGTCTGTCCGTCACACTTTTTGGGACACAATAACTTTCCTTCTAATTGACCTAGAATGTTCAAACTTGGTGTAGGTGTTTATTAGGTGAATGCCTTGATGGAGTTCGAAGATGAGCATTTTCTGCCTAGGGTAAGCAGAGATAAGCAATTTGATTGGTTGATGCTTTGGGACACGATAACTTTATTTCCAATTAAGTGAGAGTGATGAAACTTGGTGTATAGTTTCATTACATCAATACCTTGACTAACTTCGATAATGAGCATTTTCTGATCAGGGTAAGCAGAGCGATAAGCAATTTGATTGGCCGAGACTTTGGAACAAAATAACTCTCCTTCTAATTGAGCTAAAATGTTCAAACTTGGTGTAGGTGTTTATTTGGTCAATGCCTTGATGGCGTGTGAAGATGAGGATTTTCTGCCTAGGGTAAATAGAGATAAGCAATTTGATTGGTTGATGCTTTGGGACACGATAACTTTATTTCCAATTAAGTGAGAGTGATGAAACTTGGTGTATAGTTTCATTACATCCATATTGAGCATTTTCTGCTCAGTGTAAGCAGAGCGATAAGCAATTTGATTGGCCGAGACTTTGGAACACAATAACTCTCCTTCTAATTGAGCTGGAATGTTCAAACTTGGTGTAGGTGTTTATGAGGTCAATGCCTTGATAGAGTGCGAAGATGAGCATTTTCTGCTTATGATAAGTAGAGATAGGCAATTTGATTGGTTGATGCTTTGGGACACGATAACTTTAGTTCTAATTAAGTGAGTGATGAAACTTGGTGTATAGTTTTATTACATCAATACCTTGACTAAGTTCGATGATGAGAATTGTTTGCTTAGGTTAAGGAGCAATAAGCATTTTGATTGGTCAAGACTTTCGAACATAACGACTCTGCTTTTAATTGAGGTAGAATGTTTAAACTTGATGTAGATGTTTGTCTTGACTGAGTTCAATGATTAACATATTGAGCTAAAGCTAAGCAGAGATAAGCAATTTCCTTGGTCGATGCTTTGGGACAAGATAACTTTGATTCAATCTGATAGAGAGTGATGGAACTTAGTGTATAGTTGATAATCAGTTTGATTGCTCGATAATTTTGTTAAAAATAGGTCCCAAAATATATTAGCGATTTAGCTCCTTTAAACATTCTACCTCAATTCAAAGCAGAGTTGTTATGTTCCAAAATCTTGACCAATCAAATTGCTTATCGCCTAAGCAGAAAAGTCTCATCATCAAACTTATTCAAGGTAATTATAATGAATCTATATTCAGAGTTTCATCACTCTCACTTAATTAAAACTAAAGTTATCGTGCCCCAAATCATCAACTAATCAAATTACTTATCTCTGCTTACCCTAAGTCGAAAATTCTCATCTCCGAAATCCATCAAGGCATTCACCTAATAAACACCTATGCCAAGTGTGAACATTCTAGCTCAATTAGAAGGGAGTTATTGTGTTCCAAAGTCTCAACCAATCAAATTGCTTATCGTTCTGCTTACCCTGAGAAGAAAATGCTCATTATCGAACTTAGTCAAGGTATTAATGTAAAAAAAAAAAGCTACACACCAAGTGTCCTCACTCTCACTTTAGAACTAAAGTTCCAAAGCATAAACCAGTCAAATTGCTTATCTCTACTTACCCTTAAAGCAGAAAATGCTCATCTTCGAACTCCATCAAGTTTGCACATATCTCAATTAGGAGAGTTATTGTGTTCCAAAGTCTCGACCAATCAAATTGCGTATCGCTCTGCTTACCCTGAGCAGAAAATGCTCATTATCGAACTTAGTCAAGGTATTGATGTATGTAATGAAACTATAGGCTACCCCAAGTTTCATCACTCTCACTTATTAGAACCGAACTAAAGTTATCGTGTCTCAAATGATCAGCCAATCAAATTGATTATCTCTGCTTAACCTACGCAGAAAATGCTCATTTTCGAACTCCATCAACTCAAGGCATTGACCTAATAAACACCTACACCAAGTTTGGACATTCTAGCTCAATTAGAAGGAGAGTTATTGTGTCCCAAAAAGTATGACAGACGCCGGGGACAATAAAACACACTAGCAGTGGGGCAATATCAATATTCAAGTGAAAATCATGAACTTCGGTAGGCCTAATAATATTTGAGAGATGCCAGAGAGGTGGAAACTTTAGGTATGAAATTTATTTTACTTTTTTTCCCCCTTGTTAACAAAGGTAAACTCATTAAAAGAACTCAGTGAACACTACAACACACTGGACACCACATCTTGGCTAGATTCCAAGACACCAAGCAGATATAAACACATACACACCATATTATTACATAAACTTTATTTATATATATAACAAAACATTTATAAATTTCACCCTACTTCATAATGAACGAAGAAATATGGGGCGCCGTTTGTAAAATAGTTATTTAATTTTTTTTATAGCAAAAAACATTAGATTTAACTCTGAATATATATATTTAGATAAATATTAGAACAAAAATGGCATATATGTAAATATCAAAAAATATTGTAGCTAAAAGTCAAGTTTTTGGTCTATGAAAAACTTTAAATGTTATATCTTGATTTCACATCGCTTAGTTAATTAAATATATAGCTAAATGTGCTGTTTTTCGTAGGTATAAAATTAATGCTAAATACTAAATCACTGAAAAATCTAAAGTTAAATATTTAGCTAAATATATAAACATTTAGCTAAATATATAACTAAATATATATATTTAGTTAAATATATAAACATTTAACTAAATATATAAACATTTAAACATTTAACTAAATATATAAACATTTAACTAAATATATAAACATTCAACTAAATATATATATTTAGTTAAATATATAAACAGTTAACTAAATATATAAATATCATGCTAAATATATATGTTTAGCTAAATGTATAAATATTTAACTAAACATAATATTTGTGGTCCCGCCAATATTTCTATTATCGTAAGCGACACAAAAAACTGCGCATAAAATGATGACCTGTACCCGACACGTGAGCCTTGCCTACTAGCAATTAGAAATGGAAGCTGACCACGAACTTGTAACCCGAATCACGGCCGCGGTACTCCGTGCCGTTCGCACAGATCAAGGCAAGGTGCAGTCAATGGAAAGTTGTACACTACGTCATCGTTTAGTGTGAAGTCGCTTACAACAATAATTATTTTACAAACGGCGTGGTACGGTTGCGCTTTGTAAATTTAACTATATATGTTTAGCTAAATATATAATTATTTAATTTAGCTAAATATATATTATTTAGCTAAATATATACAGGGGCGGATCTAGGAATTTTGAAAAGGGGGGGGGGGCGCTGCAAAATGAAGGCATGACCGCGGAGACGGGGCACGCCGGGGGGGGGGGGGGGGTCCCCAAGAAAATTATCCGTCATTTCCTTGCATCTGTAGCCATTCCAAGAGCTATTTCCCAGACTGGTGTGTTTGAGTCGATGGTTTGAGTCCCAACGGGTTGGGAACGGACATATTTGAATCTGAGAAAAGGCACTTTCAGCAGTAAAAAGGGCACTGTCGAAAATTGAATCCGCCTCTGATATATTATTGAGCTAAATATGTATCATTTAGCTAAATATATAAATGTTTAACTAATTATATAAATGTTTAACTAAATATTTTAACATTTAACTAAATATATATTTAGCTAAATGTTTAACTAAATATTTTAACATTTAACTAAATATATATTTAGCTAAATGTTTAAACATTTAACTAAATATTTAGCTAAATATTTATATATCATCAAATCTCTTGTTTTGGTCTTAATATTCAATGCTAAATGTTAAATATGAAAATAGAGATAAATCAAGAAATTTAAGTTAAATATTGAGTTTTTGTTGTATTTTTAGTTTAAATATTAAAAGTGAAAAATTTGCACAAAAGTCGAGATTTAACTATATATATATAAATTTAAATTAAATATAGTGTTTTTTGCTATATAAAAAGCTAAATAATTAATTTACAAACGGCGCCCCATAAAGAAAAACATATCCCACAAGACTATGCAGAAACACACATCATATAATTGGTAATAGTTGAGTCACAAATAACAAAAAAATAATAAGAATCAGAAAAAAAAATTGCAGAATTAAAAATAAGGGGAATAACTGTTGTTATACCGACAGATGGCGTCTCTTTAAGTTTATAGTTACCGTTAAGATGTCGGACGTGTGATTACTTTGACTTTCTAATTTGTTTCAAAATCTAATAATAATGCAGTGAAAGATGATTTATCTCTGACGACTTCTGCAAGATTAAACCGTAACACATGGTATGTTTTGCTTTAGAATCGTATGCGTTTCTATCTTATTTTTAGGGCAGAGTGAAGGTAGGATGTGGATGGCGATATGCCATGATGGGGGTGCCGTGACATGCATGGTAAAAAAAAGTTATTATGCTGTACATCAATAATTTACAATTCGCGTGAATCATCAACTGATCGATAGACTAAACATCTATCAATAATATACGCAAACAAATATATGTATGTCAAATCGTTGTTTCAACAAACCAAGATAAATCCTTTTGAGAATAGCCATAGGCCTGCCATTGGGCATTGCCATCAGCAGCCATATTGGGCTTGGGGGGGGGGGGGGATTTTTAATAGCAATGCAAAAGCTTTTTTAAATTTTTAAATCTGACTAAAATTGAATATTCACTAGTTTTCCAACCCCCCTCCCATTTAAGAAACCAAAAACAATTTCAAAATCAATTATTATAATTAAGAAATAAGAATGTTATTGGACTTTTATGACGCAAAATTGCAAAAAATGAAAAAAAAAAAGTGACCAAAGCGAAGACAATTTCTCAGCAACCATTGAAGATATAGGCATCAAATTTTCAGGAAACATCCATCCAAACATTAACTATTTATTGGAATTTTTAAATTTGGGCTATAAGCTTATAATTATTTCCTTTGAAATATAGCCTGGGTCTTTCTATGAGAAAATAAGCTTACGTGTTTACTTTCTCAGTGACGAGCGCCGTTTTTGCCTTTTCCTGAGTGATAATTTTATGTTTTCTAAATATAAGAAATAAGTCGTAAATACATTTCTAAATGTCCAAACCACGCTCGACACAAACTCTGATTTCGTCTCAACACGAAAAGTGCAAAGTCATCGATGTTGGTGTTCATACAACTTCCCGAAGACGTGGAACAAAAACTACACACTGTCATTTTTTTTGACATTGATAAAAAAAAGTATCAGTGGCGCCTCTAGCGAGCTTTTGCACTGCTATTGTTAATCCCATTTCACCACGGCATATGGAATTTAGTTCTGGAGATATTTAATTTTTTTGTTGTCCACCAAATCCCATTGCAACCCTTCATAGACTCGATCTGAATGGTTTTTGATCATTTTCTCACAGATTCTTTGAGCGACATATAATATAGTAATATACTAGATTACTACTAAGCTCATATTAGAAGGCCTATTAGTATTACAGTATTTTACTTTTAGATCATCCCAGGTTTTTGATGATTTTCTCACAGTTTCTATCCACAACATACCGGTAGTCATATCATAAGCTTTAAATATAAGATAGGTCTACATGTACGGTAGGTCTCTTACGGTAAATTATTGTACTTTATAGATCATCCTTGAATTTATTAATTGTTTACTTCAAAGTTCCATGCATTTTTGTAGGCAGATTGTTTTGGACACAACTTCTAACCATAGTTCTACAGCACCAGTCCATAAACTGTCTCTTTATCAAAAATCTGATCTGACCTCCCCCATTTCCATAAAGAACACTCATCTGAAATTGTTTACCAAAAGACCATTTTGATTATTTATAGAGGGGCAACTGCACATTTTGATCACATTTGTCAGTCGACACATTTACATTTGCCCCCAAAGAATTACAACCCACCAGTTAACTACTTCCAGGTGACACTACGTAGTACGACTCGAAAATGACTTGCTATTTCTTCAATTTTTAATTAAAATGGTTAAAACTTAAAACTTAGCGACCTATCTGGAATTGTCGTCCCTTTACTTTCTACCGTGTGGGAACTAATTTCAGATCAAGCTACATAACCTTTCTCTCTTGAAAAATCGTGGTTTATTTACTTCGCGGTATTGAAGACTGCCATGCTTGACCTAGTTTTTTGTAATATACAAAATCGAACAGGGGTGTGGGTTTGGCTTGGGGTCGTTTCGTCCTACTTGCATGTTTAGATGGTTGTTTCGATCCAGTAAAATATAACTGGAACTTGCTTTTTAAAGAGCTAATTACGGGCGGTAACATGAATTTGCCATACATGTGGATCCTCCTTCACAAGACATTATTAACCGAATGCACCCAATTTGTGGAATACCCTTATACCCCTAAATGATATACGAGTGACCCATTTTGTGCAGTCGCAGTGGTAATGTTTATGTTCCGAGAAATTGTCAGTATCGAAATATGTTGAAATAATGGATTTTTCAAACTGACGGGTGTTAAGACTCAACGAAGAAAGTAATGGGATGACAATTCCATGTAGGTTGTTAAATTTCAACCATTTTAAATAAAAATTGAAGAAATAGCAAACAATTTTCGAGTCGCAGTGTTGCCTGGAACAGACAGTAGGCAAATCATAATATTGATAAGCACCATTTATTATACCATATTTCAGTTGTGAACAACAAAAATTTTAAAGGTTAGTTTACATTGGATCTTGGGTGTCAACACTCATCATGAATTCAATCACAGCTTTAAAGGGAAACCTAGGATTAAGGAGCAGTCGTAAGTACATGTTAAAGTTTTAAGATATAGTCAATAGAATGTTCTGTGAAACTAAGAGGCCAGAGAGCATCAAACTGTTAAAAATAATCAGATGGTGAACATATTGCATCAATATGAGTGGTACATACAGATGCTTTTTAATTTCCATTGTGTATTTCAGCTTTGTCTCCAACATCAAGTAAACTATCAACTCAATACCTTGTTTTAGATCACATGGCCAGTCACTATAAAAAAATTAGTAAGGCTAAATGTAAGTATTCATGTTCAATCAATGACAGACAGCTGTGTAAATGTTTTGGTAATGTTCTTTTACAAATCAAGGACTTTGTGTCAACAAAAAGCTCAGTATTTCCTCCTTAATATTGTCAACAAATTGATTAACTGCCATAACGATATGTCCGCTAAAGTTGAGATCCTAAATGGACATCTACCTGGAATAGTACATCTTATTAAATGCATCTACTCTAGCTCCTTTTACAATCTACAAACTTTCTGCCCTTATATAAAGTGTATAGGTGAATGCTGTTATAAGTGTATAAATTTATTTTGCCCAACTATTATTGGTAAATAAGCTTTCAGATAAAAATATATTTTGTAATTGGAATAGATGACCGAATTATACAAAGGAACATGTCTTTAAAATGACTCTTCCATTTAATAACATGTTGTTTAGTGGTCTACCATCATGTATATTTATAAGCTTAGATTTTACGCTAATAAAATAATGTTTTGTTTTAATTTCATTTTCTAGCTGCCATTGACAGTACACGTCCAAAATCAATGGTATGCAGTCAAAAAGGTTTGTATAATTTTTTTCTCAGTATTATGTTGTAACATTATGTAACTGAATGTATTGTAAACATTGTAATATTTCTTAGGCCATGATTACAGTGTACAACTTTATTGTTTGTTCAAGGGTTTGTATGTGTAAACTTTGGATATGTTCTTGAAAATTTGAAGAACTAATTTATAATATTTTCTTGGTTATTCTGGGGTTTTTTTTAGCAAGAGATAATCAAAGACGTAAGAATATTTCACAAGGTCTACCAACTCGTACAACATCTCAGATCTCTAGGCATACACCATCACCAAATCACTATAGAACAGATGAACACTATAATGATGCCTTATGGGTAAGAGTATGATACATGCAGTTAAAGTGTGTCAAGATAATTGTTTAATTCAAGTCAACAAAATAGACCAATATTGTTTCCTTGAATCAGCAGTGTTAAATCTCCAACATGTCAGAAAATTTTGAAAGAAAATAATTCAAAGGAATCAATCCTAACTTAAGTATTATAAAAAATAATAAATTATGTAGTATTAGTAGTAATAATAATGCCATCAGAATTCAAAAGTTTTCAATTGAATTTTTGAAACTTCATGAAGTTGTTCTTTTTGACATCAGGTATTTGTTTTTCACACTGGTAGATGTTTTTCCTTTCAAATTTTTACTTTCAAAGCTCAGTACTGAAGTCATATATATTTTAAAACTTGCTCTTTGGTATTTGTAGACAATTTTATATTTAGCATCTTTGTTGAATATAGTGGCTGGACAAGCCCCTGTATAATTATGTTTTCTACTTAATTATATTAATAACGGTACATATTTTTTACTTTTGTGATATGTAAAGATTTTGTCATAAACAAAAGAAACATGACAAATTTACACTTATTTAATAACTACAACCTAGGCTATGGCTACTAACTTTCAGTGGTAAGAAATTTCAAACAATTTGCGTATCCCTTATGTTTTAATTAAAGTTTGAAAATGGCTTTAAACCTTCTTGCTTTACTTAAATATCTTTTACTATTTCACCGTGTCGTTGCTTTTACAACTATATGTTTGAGTTATTATTGGCTTACAGTTAAAACCACCAAACATGAATTGTCTTTTAAATTTATTTGATTTTGTTCAGGATGTGTAGTGTCTGTCTTTGTTCTGTCACCCTTTTTTGTCGCTCTCCTGTCTAAAAGTTATCTAGAATGTAATTTAGGGGTGTCCTAAACAATTGATCATCATAATGTATTATTACACTTTATAACTGTTTATTGTTCTAAATGATATTGATAGTAAACAAGAACTTTCTGGTAAGCTTCTAAAAAGAAGACAGAGAAAATACTTCAACTGCATACAGCAGACAATAAATAGGTGTTTTGACCATGCATATAATGTAGGATACACACTGCTGTGCTGAAGATATCATACTGTAGATGCTAATACATTTTGGCAAAAGAAAATGGTTTTGCTTAAAATTGATTTTCAACAAGATCAATTCTAAAGGTATTATTGATCAGTGATATCAGTTGTGAAAACCCAGCAAGATTTGAATATAGCTTATAATTATGTATATTCTTGATTGGATCACTGGGGTTGTACAATGTAACTTATATTTTAAATGTGTATTTTTAGGATGAGGAACTTGAAGATGAGGATGATAGATTAGTTCAAAGCATAATGAGAACGACACTACAAACAAAACCTAATCCCAGCCATCATGCAACGTTCAATACCAATCATGCACAACATAATTATCATCAACAAGATGTCTATGATTCTCGTAACTTTGAGACGACAAGACCTGTTTCACAGCGATCAATGCTAAGCAGTGCATCGCGACTCAAGCTGGCATTAGCTGCCACAAAAGGGCCAAATGATGGTGATATTCTGGAAAAACGAAAGGAAGTCTTTAACCAACCAGAAAAACCATTTACACCTCGAACACTTAAAACAGACAGAAAGTCAAGACTAAGCGAATACAAATACTATACACCACCAAAGAAAAACAAGAACAAAAGTCAGGAAACATCCAGAGAAAAACAGATAGATAATCCCAACAAGGAAAAAATTGATAATCAGCCTAAAGCGAAACCTCGAAAGCAATCTTCCCAATTTCAACCTGAACACACAATGTCTAGTACAATGATGCGTGAAAGCTTTCAAACTCGTGATTTTAGTAACAACTACAATAAAAGCAATGCAGATGTTCCTCCTTTAGACATTACAGTTGACAATGATCATCGGAATTGGTTAGAAGAACAGGCTGGAAAAGCAGAGTTCAGAAGAGAAAAAGCACCACACATTCTGCACTCCAACATCAATGATGATGACCCCTCTCAATATATCCAGTAATGAATTTTTTTTTTTTATGTTAATTGTTAAAGTCCCGATGTACCGTTTTAAGCAGTATGAATCTCTTGTAAACTACTATATTGTGAAATATGAATCTCTATTAGGAATATTAGTCAAAAAATGATTCAATTCCATTCAGTATTTAGAAAGATATTCATTGATCTATGCTGCTCGCTATGCAATAAGCCCACCGTAATTTAGTTCTTAATGAAAATTTAATGATGGGGCCCAGAGGTCGCAGTGGATCAATTTCGAGTTGCGTAAAAATATGAAGACATTAAAATTTTTTGCGTTTTTGCTCTCTACATCTGCGTGATTTAGGGTCTCTCAAAATACTCAATAGAAGCAAGTAAAATCGTTACGTGAACATCCCTATTTTAAGCGTCCTTATTTCATTGATACTGTATTTTGTCTAATGACGACTGAAGGTTGACGGCATATCTATGGTTTACGGCACAGTTATTTCGATTTTTCACTTCGACAGGAAGTAAAGAGCAAACTATCGCTATGAAAGCCAATATTTGATTGGCTAAATGTAAACAGTTTATCGTGTTCTAGCTAATCCAAAGTCTTGTATGACTTTATTGCTTCCAGTGCGGCAAAATAGGGGGTCTCAGAATAGCTACATATAAAATAGAAGGCTTACTGACATGAACTTAAAGATTATGAACGAAATAAGAGGAAATATAAAAACCTACGGAGACTATGTACAGTTCGGTAGCGGTGTGTAAATGCCGCGTGAAGCATGGAAATTGATGACATAGTGTAAAAACTACGAAATAGTATAATCTACTAATTGTCCGTGAATATTTGGGTTTATTTTGAAAAAAATGCGTGAAAAATGCAGATTTTTGCGTGACTGCGACCTCTGGATGAGCCTATTATAAATCGGATTGAATCCAAGCCAGAACATTATTTAGCGTTGTATATTGATTTGGTATCATTAAAAGTAAATGTTAAATTAGCGTGGATTAAGCAGTGAGAATTTTGAAATTTTAGTGACCAATGCCAATTGTGTATCATTACTTTAAATATTCTGTAAATCTTGCATTCAGTTGGGGAAGATCTCATTCAAATGCAATTCTCTTAGTGCACTGATTTTAATCCTAAGATTTTTTGTTGAATAAAAATACCTCAGAAATCTTCCATGATAGTAGATTAGAAAGAATATTTTTTGTGTATGGTAGAAAAAGTGAAGTCTATTAGTAATTAGAAATGTATCAGTAACAGTTATGCTGTAAATGAAAGTATTGCTATGTGTTGTTAAATGATTTACTGATATTAGAATAATTTAAAGTTTGTTACTTTCCACTATATTTGTTAAATATCCTTCCACTTTTAAAGATTTTATTTTTGATTTAAGTGCTTCTCCTAATTGTGAAAGATATAATTTTATATGTGTAGTAGAGTTGTTGTTATTTTATGTAGAAAGAAAATTTAGTAGTGCATATATAATGTATTTATATATGAAATTTGGATTTCAGTGATCACTTTAAAGTACTATAAATATAAACATAATATTCTGACTTGTATCAAAATATTTTATATTAAAAAATTTGACATCTTTTCACATTTTATTCTTTTACCATTTTAGGGGTCTTAACCATTTTGGGGGTCTTTGCCCATGTTACCTATGGATTGATTGATTTAGCACCAAAGTGATTTTTGTTTTATATTAGCTCATTTCCTTTAAATTTATTTCTTGATAACAGCTTGCCGTAAAGTCAATTTGCAAATAAGTCCTGATTTCCAATGATGTATGAAGCATCAAAATTAAATGTCTCAGAATGTTGCCTTTAAGTTTGTATTGATTTTGAAGAATCATCAGTACAGCTGTGAACAGTTCTAATGAGTGAAACTGTTTTAACTTACAGAGATGAGGAACAAAAATACGTAGATTTTGCACATGGTATAACTAAAGATATTATCAGTAGAGGTGTATATACAGATAGGTAAGATTATTAAAAAAATTTCCACAGGAGTTGAAATTCCAAGATTCTGTTTTACCTTGTGGCTTTACGTTCAGTTCTTTAGCTTCATTCTACCTTACAGAAAGCTGTGTTCATGGGAAGTAATAGACAAAAGGTCTAATGAGTCATGCTTATAATAAGCCCATAGTAATTAGTATCAGACTAATAAAATGATTTTCTAACTATCTTTTACCCATACATTAGAAATTTAACATTAAATTTTATTTGTTTTCTTTCAGAATGCTAAAGCAAGTTTTTAATGAACACTTTGAACGAAGAAAGCATGAACTGGATCAGGTGAGTTTTTCGGTTTCTAATGTTCTTTTCTGTGTATCTATAATAAATGGGTGATTGTAAATCTCGTTTGAGAGATACATTGTAATTTAGCAATTCTGACACCAGATCACAACATGTGAGAATGATCTTTTCATGATTGCATAAATGCAACACTGATCAATTCTTTCAAATACAAAATGTTGAATTCAACAGAATAGAATTGTTAATAATCATGATGTTACAATGCAGACATGGGGTATAAAATGTGGCTTTTAAAAAGGTAGGGTCAGTACAATTAGAGCTATGTGGAAAATGCAACATTATCAGGTTGACATCTGAACACTGAGAACAAATCATTGTGTATATTAGAGAGGGCATGAGTATCAGAACCATCACACAAAATTTTTTCAAAATTGTATTTTTGTTTGTATGGAGATGAACAAAATATTTGGCTGTTGTTACTGATAGACTATGCATTTGGTAAAACCCAGCTGTTGACCTTCAAATATTCATTTAAACAACTAATTATTACTTACTGTTCTTTCAGGTGAAAATGAAACGTGAACTTGATAAATTGCGCCGTGAATTAGATCTTCATCCAGAAGTCGGAAATGACAAAGACTATGTTGATACCAGACGTAATATCCACTTAACCAATGACACTTACTTAGGCAGAACTGCTGAAATTGACACCATTCTCCAAAATAGCACTTCTCGTTACCATACAAACACTGCTGATAGTCACACAATGCCCCCAAATACTTCTAGTTACTTGGAAGAAACTGCTGATCGTTTTACAAATGATACTGCTGGTTATGTGGAAAAGACTACAAACAATGAAACCAAAAATAGTCAACTGGAAAAAACTGCCACAAGTGATACAAATGAATCAAATGGTTATTTTGGAAAAACTTCTGATTCAAATAGGCCTAATTCGAGAACAAGGTGGTCTATTGACTCAACCAATACCTTGAACTTTAATAGCACCAAAGGTGAACTACTGAGTACCATTCAATCTGATAATATTGAAGGTGATAATGATGATCTCACATCAACACAAATATTAGATCAATATCAGACAATGATGACAATGAAGGCTAAGGATGGTGAAGAAACAGATAGTCAGTATCAGAGTAGCCAGAGTCGTCAGAGTCCTGACAGTTCCAAACATCATGTGATCTCTGAATCTAAAGATGAATTCCAAAATGATAACATGAAGACATTGAAAGAAACCAGTGTACACCAAACTGCTGATGAAGATGAGGATTATAATGCTGAATATGAAGATGATTATGAATCTGATCATGATACAGTCAAACATGACTCTTCTGACGATGATTTTTAACTTAATAGTTTTCCACCATAGATCAGAATACAAACTATAATAATAATATGTACATGAAGTGCTTTTAATAATTTTTCTAGTCCCAAATTCCTAAATCATAGTGAGGGTTCTCATACAATCAACAAGGTTTTGATTTTATATCTCAATAGAATGAATTATAATTATGGTTATTTTGTGTAGTGTTCTAGGGAGTTTATCCTGGGAAATTATTACTTATGATGATACAATCAAGAATATTGGAGGATTTGTTTCATTTATTTCCAAAAAGGTCATGTTTCTGTTAATAATTCCCTTATTAAAAGGTAATCTGTAATTAGTTTTACAATCTATTTATTATGTATTATGTATTAATTTTGTTTTATTGATGTTTCTAAAGAACTCAACTGTCTCTGATCATAATATCTATGCTTTTTATATCATGTTTTTACATTTCAAGAATACTGTATTTTTGTCCACATGTACTGTCCATTTTAATTGTGATAAGACTTATATTAGAATTTGGAATATTTATTTGATAAATTTATTGTTGAATATTGAGTTGAATACAAAACAATTTTATCAATTTCATGACAGGAAACTTAGAATTGTAAATTATTTTCCATCAGTCATTACTGAATTGAGTGTGGTAGATTTATATTCTGTTCTATGAATTAGGACATTGTGACATTCCTAAATAAATGAAAATAAGCATCAGGTCTATGTATGTGTTGTAAATTGTAATGATAATTAATTTATTTATTTCTATTTGTTAATCATTTAAATGTCCTGTGATATTTGTTCTAGATGGCAATATAGATGAAGATATACTATTTATTTAAATTTAAAAATGTTATTTTTTTGTTTATTCACATGTCAAATTGATCTGAAAGTTGTAATAATCACTACAGTATTCTTGCTATCTGTTTATTTGCTCACCCTTTATAGATTTTTTTTTTTCTAAATAAATAAGATAATTAAAATCGGTCAATAATTAATGAGCCAGTTATATTTCATATTGGGATATATCATAGTACACCTCTATTCATAGTAGCACTTAATTCAAGCTGTTCAAATCTGTTCTGCACAAAAAGACAACTATAGATTTCTGCAATGAATCGCTGCCATGTTGAAAAAGCAACAAAAGAAATGTCAGGTTGGTATGTTACTCTGAATAGATGCATTGCATAAAACTTGCCAAATGTTTTTATTGTACATTTGGGTCATTCCATGTCAAGTGGACCAAATTTCGGAAAATTGGGAACATGACCCTCTCCAATTTTATATGTAATACAAAATTATACCCCGCTAGGTCGAAAACTCCCCGAGATGTGGCCATTTGGAATTAGGGTACTGAAAAGGATCGTGAATTCGGTAATTTTTTTTCAGGTTTTCGGGTGCTTTAAACTCACATTTCTAATAGGAGTAGAATTCTCCAACTTTGTAATCTAAGACAGTTCGTGCCACCAGGTGGCAAAATGTAGAATGAACCATTCACTTTTTTTTTTCAGGATTTCCACAGCCACTGGCAAAGTCACTATTTGTATACACAACCTCCAAAATTGGCATAGTTATGTCTAGTTTGTCTTTTATCAATTTACAAAGGATTCTGAGTCGATGGGATATCCTTTCCAAATACATGTATCCAGGTTAAAATTCTGAAAAAGTTTGATAATAAAACTTCAATTATCCTACTATACATGTTACATAATTAAAGTCCATCTTGTATATTTGATGGCTTATATTTTTAATTGGCACTTGAAATCTGTGCGGTGATGAAGTTTTAATGGCTATTATGAAAAATGTTGACTTTTCTCGTTGATTTTAAAATAACTTCTAAATGACCGATACTCCTCAAACGTGTCTATTTAGAGTGATTTTTTGGGTAGATTACGAATAAGCAATCATTTGTAATGTACATTGTATTGTTCTATTTTTTTTTGCCTCCCAAATGAGAAAAAAGAATGGCTCTTCCACTTCACAAATTATTGGAATATTGGGCTTTGACAAACACAATCAGATTAAAATTAATTCTGAAAGACTAAGGCCCCTAGTATTTGTTATTTTAGAGCAACTTATAATGTAGTGGCTACAGGGAGTATCGGTTCAATTTAAGTTTGCTTTCAAAAACAGGGAAAACTTGTTTTGTCTGTTTAGAAAGTTGAAGTACAGTTGTTACACTATCACTCAGGGGCGTTTTAAGGTTTATCATGGCGGAGGCTATACTATTTTGAGGGCCCGCTTTCGTGGGGGGGGGGGGGGGGGTCTCTGCCACCGGAGGTTGATAAATTTTGCAAAATAGAAAACATTTTGGTGCATTCTGACATCCTCCAGCAACAGTGTATAGAAAACGATTGACTTGGACTCGGGTGCCCTTTCCCTTGGCCAGAGGGGCCCTTTTGTCAGACGTGGCTGCTCTTTTTTGGCCTCTAGGACCCTCACTAACAAGGGTACATTTTCATTTTTCTCATCAGTTTTAGCATTTTTCTCCTGTTTTATTTTTTCAACTTCTTTGATTTTTATCACGAGGAGGCTGGCGCCTGCAGCGCCTCGTCTATAAAACACTTTTGCTATCACTGAACACTGTGTATAGAAAACGATTGACTCGGGCTCGGGGCCCTTTCCCTTGGCCAGAGGGTCCCTTTTGTCAGATGTGGGGCCCTTTTGTCTGTCTTTAGAGTTCTCCCTAACCAGGGTACATTTTCATTTTTCTCGTCGGTTTTAGCATTTTTCTCCCGTTTTTTTTTTTTCAACTTTGATTTTTTTCGCGAGAAGGTTGGCGCCTGCAGCGCCTCGGCTATAAAACACTTTTGCTATCACTGAACACTTGAAAATTACAGGCCGCAATTCTTAACGCATGATCTTGAAACTTTGCATACTTATTCCTCATACCCTAATAGTAAGTGCAGGAGGACCGCACTACACGTAAAACAAAAATCTACACGATAAACCTGCGGACAAGACAGAAAATGGACATTGCAACAAATATCAAATCAAGTGAATGGATCTGGGGGCCAATCGTTAGCGTCCACTGCGCTGTACAGTCCCGGGCCTGTCGTTATGGTACAGGCTTCACTAAAAATGATTTACAAAAAAGATGTAACAGAAATAATGCGACCAATCTTGACAGTGGTCAATAGTCTGCCAGTTGACGTCAGTTGTTAGAACGTCAAACAATTTCAACAATAAGGGCGATAATCCGGATAGAATCTCGGAGAACGATAAAATAATAAGTGTAGTGAGCAAAGCCCGACAACAAGAACATTCTGCAGTACGAAGGGCGGAAGGGCTAAAACTCTACTCTAATACTACTAATAGTAAGTGCAGGTGGACCGCACTACACGCAAAACAAAAATCTGGCCTCAGGGTCAGAGCCACACCCATTGTTTCTTTACGTGTCTCTGTTTTGCCTACAGGCTGCAATTCTTAATGGATCGTCTTGAAAACTTTTCATATATATATATTCCTTATCCAAATGATGACTGTTATTATTTTCGGTGCATGACCGACCCCCAGGGGCACAGCAACACCAGATTTTTGTGTTTTTGTCCACAGACTGCAATTCTGAACTTCCAAAGGACGGTCAACTTGATTTTGGTGCATGCCTGACCTCTGTCACGTTCCAGTATGATCCATTCAGAATTGCGTCCCATAGGCGATAAACATAAAAAAAAAAAATGAGCGTTGCTGTGCCCCTGGGGGTCGCGCATTCACCAAAAATAATAGCAGTCATCCTAATGGTATAGAAATATGTATGAAAAGTTTTCAAGATGATCAAAATACACAGACACATAAAGAATAAATGGGCGTAGCTCTGCCTCTGGGGGTTGGTCATGCACCAAAAACAATAACGACCATTCTCAGGGTATAAGGAATAAGTATGCACAACTTCAAGAGAATCCGTTAATAACTGACACATAGGCCTACAAAAATTGAGCGTGGCTCTCTGCCCCTGGGGGTCGGGCAAGCACCAAAAACAATTGGTTGGAGACATCCTTATGGTATAATTAGTATGCAAAGTTATAAGACGATGCGTTAAATATTTCGGATTTCAACTTTCTAAGCAGACAAAACAAGTTTTCACCTGTTTTAAAGCCAAACTGAATTGAAATGATACTCCTCGGATCCCAAAGGAGTCTTTTTTTTATTCTTATTCTAGTCTAAAATGACAAATATGAGGGGTCTAAGTCTTTCAGAAATAATTTTAATGGTTGAATCATTCACACTACAACGTCAGCAGCATGCCACGACTCACAACAGCTCAGAGGAACCAGGCGCTTCCAAGGAAGACACGACTCTGGCCACACTGCCAAAGCCGTTGCCAATCACTTCCAGGTCAATGTTCGGTCGGTCTACAGGCTTCAGCAACGCCTTCGGGCCACTAACACCACAGATGATCGCCCCGAACTGACAGACCTGGGGTTACCACCAGGCGACAAGACCGTCAAGTTGTGCAATAGCACGTGCAGTATCCCTTCACACAGGCATCCGAGACAGCACGTCAGACAGTGGGAACACACGGAAGACCCATCAATACCGATACAGTGCGCCGACGTCTCACAAGAGAGAACATCCATTGCCGTCGTAGACCTTACCATGGACCGATCCTCACCCCACGCCATCGATGTAAACGTCTAGTTTGCCCAACAACACCAGAACTGGCGACACAGGCAATGGAGAACTGTTCTGTTCACAGATGAGTCGGTAGGCCTATTGCATATCAACTGCAGATAGCAGGACCAGAATAGGGCGTCGACGTGGCCAGCGTTATTCTGACCAACGTGTCATGGAACGAGATTCGTGGGGAGGTCCAAGCATAATGGTTTGGGGTGGAATCGGCTTGAACCAGAGAGTGGGTCTTGTGGTGTTCAAAAATCTTGGTCCAGGAAAAGGAGGCGGCATCACAGCAGTTCGCTACATCGATCAAGCTCTCAGACCCCACGTCATGACCACATTTTGCACGTCATCAAATCGACGTTTTCCAGCATGACAACGCCTGTGCCCACACTGCCAGAGTTCCTTGGGACTTTCTACAACAGAACGGTGTCAATTCAACGTTATGCACTGGCCAGCCCTTAGTCTGGACTGAAACCCGATTGAAATCCTTGAGATGAAATTCAGAGATGACTTAACGTAGTACCGAGACCAAACACAACCCATGGATTGCGCCATGGCTTTTCTGAGAGTGTGGTTCCAGGTGCCAATGGCATTCATCATTCGTCTGGTCCACTCCATGTATGTATACAGACGCTGCGCTGCTGTTATTGACACTTGCAGTGGACACACCAGATACTGATGTATAGACTGTACAGACTCTAAACCTTCTCGTAATGTCTTGAAATTGTGATGAATTAATCTCTATAATGTGTCAACATACTGTTCACAAAAAATTGCTTTGATCCATTTAGTAAGTCGTTTTCTAGAATGACTTGATTAAAGTGCCTCTCTGATTTCTGACGTTTTTGACTCTGATTAAGAAATTGTTTTTCCGTACATCTGGCCGCCATCTTGGATATCTCTGTCGCTCTGGCGGGTTGGTTTGACAAATTGACAGCAGAGTCGTGATCAGCAGTCTCGAAAATATATAAAACGACATCTTAATGCCTTAGTGAGAAAATCGAATTTTAAAATTTTTACCGCCATTTTTGGCCGCCATCTTGGATTTATGTTTTCCCCCCTAGGGTGACATTAACCCTATAGGCCTACAACAATCATCCACAGAGAAAAAAAAAGTATATCAAATTAAAGTGGGTTAGCTGCCCTGACGCTCGGACTATATTAACTTTTTTTTTTTTTTTTTTTTGGCTTTTGCAAATTATATATTTTAACACAATTTATTAAAATTGTGTTAGCAGAGAGAGAGAGGGGGGGGGGTTAACGTCCACTCGACACAAATTAGGTCATTTCGGGACTACCATGGCATATGGTTCAATTTTATTTCAATAATTCGCTTGCGCATAGGATTAGGAGGGGTCTAGCTTTAGCAGTGGGGGTAAACCGGAGGACCCGGACAAACCCCACGAGGTTGGACAGGCGACCCTACTCTTTGTCACGTACAACCGGGATTCGAAAACAAGCGAGCTGACTCATTGACAGACCTTATCATGCCTTATGACGTTATGATACAGCCCGCACGTGCTAACCATTCGGCCAAAAACACCACCCCCCCCTCCTAAAAACAATAAAAAATGTCTTGGAAGTAGGTCTACGGTATATAGCCTCATAGGGGTGTATAATACATCTCTATGATGGGTAGCCTATATCTGGATAAAAAATAGTTAGTGTAATATGGGTACATAAAGGGACGCGAAGGCGTATCATATGCCCGGATGAGTTTGTGTCACTACGTCCGATCTTGTACAGTTTTATTATGTGACGTCAAACCATAGACCTTTACAGATTGGCGTCAGGCTTGTATACAGGACACAGATCACTAAAGATTGCCCCATTGACTCCAATGTTAATTCTCGTATCTTAGACCGGCTCTAACTTTTTCCCAAATTTTCGTTGGGTAGAACGCTTTCTACCACAGATGGAGCAACATGTGGCAACCACTTGCCCAAAAGCACGTATGAGGTTCTTCATGAAAAACTTGAGATACACAAGCTGGAAGTAGAGACAAGTAAACATGCAATTTCAGGCCCTACATTTCAACGTAACCAACCTCTCAACTCTTGTATCCTTCCGCATCAAAATTATGAATATTCACCAAAACCTGGCAGAAAATGTATTTTCAA